CATGTGTGTGTGCTCGTGTGTGCACGTGGGTGTGTGCGTGTGTGTGCGCGCGTGTGTGTGCATGTGTGTGTGTGGGCGTGTGTGTGCGTGTGTGTGTCTGTGTGTGTGTGCACGTGTGTGTGCACGTGTGTGCGCGTGTGTGCGCGTGTGTGCATGCGTGTGCACGTGTGCGCGCGCGTGTGTGCACGTGGGTGTGGGTGTGCACGCGTGTGCGTGCGTGTGTGTGCGCGTGTGTGCATGCGTGTGTGTGCACGTGTGTGCGCGTGTGTGCGCGTGTCTGTGTGTGCGTTTGTGTGTGCACGTGTGTGTGTCTGTGTGTGTGTGTGTGCATGGGTGTGCGTGTGTGTGTCCAAGGTGCCCGTGCAGCAGCTTCACTGCACTGATTCAGCACAGACTGGGTTGGGTTGAAGGACCTTAAAGCTCATCCAGTTCCAACCCCTGCCACGGGCAGGGACACCTTCCACCAGAGCAGCTTGCTCCAAGCCCGTGTCCAACCTGGCCTTGAACACTGCCAGGGACGGGGCAGCCACAGCTTCTCTGGGCACCCTGTGCCAGCGCCTCAGCACCCTCACAGGGAAGAGCTCCTGCCTAAGAGCTCATCTCAGTCTCCCCTCGGGCAGGTTAAAGCCATTCCCCTTGGCCTGTCCCTACAGGCCCTTGCCCAAAGCCCCTCTCCAGGTTTCCTGTAGCCCCTTTGGGCACTGGAGCTGCTCTGAGGTTGCTGCCCCCAAAGCTGGATGCAGGACTGGGGTGTGTGGGGGGGGTGTGTGTATGGAGGCTCTCTCAGCAGAGCAGAGCCACAGCCTGTGTCTGTGCTGGGGATTGCCCTGGAGCAGGCACAGGACCCTCCAGGTGCTGGACCCCATGAGGGTTGCACAGGCCCACCCCATTAACTGATGAACTCCATTGATTTCAGCCCATCGGGCTGTGCCCCAGCCTCGCCCCACCCAGCTGTGACAGTTCCATGATGGGGATGAGGGACTGGAGGGTACCGTGGGAGGGGGGTGCTGTGGGGCAATGTCCGGGTCCATGGGGCAATGATGGGGTTCTGGAGCCCCGTGTGGGGTCTCATCCTGTGCATGGTCACACACTGCGGGTGTGACCAGCCCCACCAACACAGCACACACCCAGAGCTCATTTATTGGTGGGCAGGGTTTAATGTGGAGATGTCCATCACCTGTCCATCACTGGCCCATCACCCATTCATCACCCGCTGTCCTGCTTTGTGCCCCAGGGGCGAGGGTGGGCTATGGATGGCACTGTCGGTGCTGGGCACCCACCGGGCATGGCTCAGGCACTGCCCCCCTTCTCCAGCAGCTCGTCCTGGCTCCCGGGGATGCTCAGCCCTGGCAGAGCACCCTCCGCGGGCCCCGGCAGGGCGCAGGGCTGCAGGAGGTGGTCCCAGTAGAGGCTGAGTGTGGAGTGCTCCTGCTGCTCCAGCTCCTTCAGCTCGTGCAGCTCCTTGGCGCTGGCCGCCGGTGTCTGCACCTCAAAGGTCATCTCGAAGCGGCTGTAGTCCACCCGGAAGGCGCCTTTCTCCAGGGACATGCAGGGCTCGAAGCGGTACCCCCAGAGGATCTCATCCTCCGTGTACGAGGTGCGGGCTTGGCACGTCATCCCTAGGGTGAGGCAACACTTCAGTGCCAGGGTGCCCCAACGAGCCGCCCACTGCCCCATGAGGGGTCTCCAGCCCTGGGTCACCCACTGCCAGGAGGATGCCAACCCCAAGCCCAGGTTTCCTCCCTGACCCCACAGACCCACCTGTGGCTTCCACGATGCCCTCGAGGATGATGATAATCTCAAACTGCTCGCGGCGCAGCGACTCGGCCGACATGTCCCAGAAGGGGCTGCGGTGGTTGATGACGTGGCAGATGATCTGCGGCTCCACCAGGAACAGGCGATCCTCACCCGTGTCATAGCCCAGGTTCAGCTCCGACTGCTCCAGGGGGATGAACTCACCCTCGGCCGTCTGCCGGGACTTGATGAGCTTGGCCCGGATCTTGGCATCCACCATGTGGCTGTCCCGCAGGTCCCCGACACGGAACATGAGGCAGAGCTGCTCGTCCCGCCGGGAGATGACGCAGTTCTTGCTGAAGATGAGGGTCTGGGCGCGCTTCTTGGGCCGGGAGATCTTGACGAACATGCAGCCCACCATGAGGGCGTCGATCATGGAGCCCACGATGGACTGTGCCATCAGCAGGATGACGCCCTCAGCGCAGTTGGCAGTCACCATCCGGGAGCCATAGCCGATGGTGCGCTGGCTTTCCACCGAGAAGAGCAAGGCGGACACGAAGCCGTCGATGTTCTCAATGCACGCCGGCCACTCGGGATCGCCCCGGTGACCGACGTCACCCCGCACCCAGGCGTCAAGGAAGTAGATGGTGCCAAACGCCACCCAGGTGACGATGTAGCACATCATGAAGACGAAGAGGAACCAGCGGTACTTGAGGTCCACGATGGTGGTGAAGATGTCCGAGAGGAACCGCTTCTTCTCCTGGATATTTCCCAGGTTCACCTGGCACTTGCCCACCTTCGTCACATAGCGCTGCCGCTGCCGCTTCCCAGCCTGGAGCACGGGGCCATCCTCCTCCAGCAGCCTGCGGCGCCGGCCCGGCAGCCCCTCGGCGGTGGGCACGGTGGTGGCGGCACTGCTGCGGGCAGGGGTCCTGCCGCGCACCGAGCTGGGGATGTTGGCCACGCTCAGGGTGTGCAGCGGGCACCAGTGGGCACCGCTCTCCTGCGCGGCGGCTGGCGGGCAGCAGGGCAAGTCACCGGGATGATGTGGGGTGGCCACGCTGCCGTGGCTCCGCAGCAGGAATGGCTCACTGGGGGTGAAGCTGCTGTGGCGGGGTGGGGATGGGTAGTTTGGCATCAGGACGCTTCTCTTGGCAGTGGCAGCCGCTTGCGGGCGGCTGTCCTCTGGTAGAGCACTGGGGGCAGCCGGGGGATCAGGCTGCAAGGGGGGAAAGGAGCCCATTGGTGAGCAATGACCTCGGGCAGCACTGCGGTGGCATCCTGCCCGGAGGATGCCCCAGAGCCCCAGTGCAATCCGATCCATACCTTCTGGGGGAAGGTGCCATAGCGGCTGGTGTCGGTGGGCGGCCGCGGCAGGTAGGCCAGCATGTGCTTGGCCGTGGGGGTCTGCGCCGCGGGGATGGAGTTGCTGCGGCCGCGGGGCTCCTCGAGTGCTGGCCGGCCGCTGCCAATGCTGTTGTGGGTGCAGGGGAACACCATGCTGGGGCTGGGGTCGGGGCTCAGCCCCGGGCTGGGCACAGGGTCCTGCTATGGAGCACAGAAAGCAGAGGGTTATTGTGGACATGGAGGGTGCCTCTCCAAGGGGCAGGGTCTGCTGTGGCTGCCCTTGCCCGGCAGCGTATGTGCCAGCCATGGAGCAGTGCCGGGGTGGCCACGGGCTGGCAGCAGGTGGCTAAGCCCATTAGGGGCTGTAATTGCATTGCAGAGGCAGACAAGGAGGCGCCCGCCTCCACGGGGAGCAGCCCCGGCAGTGGGCAAGGTCCGGGAGAGCACCCACAGCCAAGCTCCATGGGTGCCCCGGGCCCTGCCTGTACTTGCCAGCTCTCTGATGAGCTGCAAGCAGGGGCAGGAGGAAGGGCAGCCCATGGTGGAGACACAGACCCCACTGCTGCGCTCCCCAGGACAGGCTGAGTCCAGCCGGGTCCCCACGGGGGTTGCGATGGGAGGTCATGTTCCTGGCACACAACCTGGAGAGCAGCGAGCCGCAGGGATGAGCCGCACGGACACGCTGCCTCCTCCCGGCATCCCCTCGCCTCTGCCAAGCAGCAGGCCCAGTGTCCTCATCGCGGCGATGGAGGACGTCAGCCTCCGGATGCACCTCCTGCCCCCAGCCCTGCGCAGACCCCTGGGTGAGGGGCACCCACCTCGTGTCCATGCGGGGTGGCCGCCGCGCCGGCAGACCCTGATCTCGGGTGGTGGCTCCCGCTCTGCCCTGGCAGCCACCGGGCATCTTCCCACCGGTTGAGGATGGGAATCCTCTGCCGTGGCCAGTGGGAGGGAAGCACTGGGAGCTCGGCGGCGGCTGCCAATCCCGCTCCAGCAGCAGAAGGTGGCCCGTTAATCTGTCTCAACGACAGGCACAATTACCTTGAGACGATTTAATCAGAAGGAGCAGGCGCCCCAAAGCCAGGCGGATGGAGCAGGAGGGGTTTCCCAGTGGATTTCCCTGCTCTCAGGATGATGCTTCCCTTCCGCTCTTGGGGATGGGATGGTCAGCAAGGGCTGGAAAACATCCCCCCTCTCCTAAGTGGTCCATGCTTCCCCACTCCCTCCTTTTGGGAGCCCCTTGAGAAGTCCCGCCCAGGTGCTCACTGGGGCTGGACCCTGGCACCAGCAGGACTTGGTAATTTCCAGGCTGGGCCCCAGTATCCCGTTGATAAGAAAGACGGCAGATGATGGAGGATTAGTCACTAATCTCCCGGAGAAGATGAATCTGCCGCGGGACCCCAGGGACGGACATGGAGGGGGCGGGTGGGAGCTGAAGTTGGGATTTTCCTGGCGGTGCTGCCCATCCTTTCCCCATCCACGTTTCGGGCACCTTCTCCCAGGGCAGCGCTCCCCCACGTCAGGCACCAGGTGCCATGTCCCTGGTGGGGGTCAGGGTGCAGGACTGGGCCGTCGGTGCCCATCTGCGAGCAGCGGGCAAAGCCTCCCCCTCCCTGCGTCCTCAGCGCAGCTCTCGGAGGCTCCTTTTCGGATTAATTTAAGGAGCGAGTGAGGGTCGATGCCTCTGACAGGAGCCTGGCGCCGGCTCTCTGCTGCCCGCATCCCACCTCGGGGCCCCTCCCGGAGCTGCGCTGCCGCGAGGCTCCGTCCCTGCCGAGGCTCCGGGTGGCCGCGGATTTGCGTGCCTTGGCTCAACCCTCCCGTCCCGGCGCGGCACCACGGCGGGACGAGCCCGGCTTCGCCTGCGGAGCGTGGGGAAGCCGAGCGCGGCTGGAAGATGACGGTGGCCACACCCCGGCGGCGGAGGAGCAGGCTTGAATCGGCCGCCCCGGGCTGCAGACGCGGCCGGCGCTGCTCCACAAGCGTTAATGCCCGCGGCCGCCGCTCAGGGCGGCTTCACCCGGCCCGGCGCGCACTCGGCGGCCGGCGGGAGCATGGCCGGGAGCTGGCGGGCGAAGGCGCAGGCGGGGGGGATGCTGCTGGCGCTGCTCGGGTGGGTCTCCTCCTGCGTCACCACCTTCGTGCCGCTCTGGAAGAGCCTCAACCTGGACCTGAACGAGCTGGAGGTGTGGACCATGGGGCTCTGGCAGGTCTGCATCGCCCGCGAGGAGGGGGTGGTCGAGTGCCGGGCCCACGGCTCCTTCCTGGCGCTGTCCCCAGAGCTGCGCGTCTCCCGCCTCCTGATGTGCCTCTCCAACGGGCTGGGGCTGCTGGGGGCCCTCCTGGCCGCGCCGGGGCTGGAGGGATGGACCCCCTGCGAGGACAAGCCCCGGCTAAAGCGGCGGCTCCTGCTCGCCGGCGGAGCGACGTTCGGCACGGCCGGGATGGCCACGCTGGCTCCGGTGTCCTGGGTCGCCTACAACACGGTCCTCGACTTCTGGGACAGCACCGTCCCCGACATCGTGCCCCGCTGGGAGTTCGGGGAGGCCACGTTCCTGGGCTGGTTCGCCGGAGCCTTCCTCGCTGCCGGCGGGCTCCTCCTCGCCTGCAGCGCCCGCACCACGAGGGCCTCGACGCCGCCGGTCCCCGCCTGCCACCAGCAGCCCCCCGCCGCGGGCCATCACCCCCTCCCCAAGCCCGCAGACCTGGTCATCTAGGGGCTCCGGCTGGCTCTGGAGGTGATCTGCTGACTGCTGCGGCCGGGCTTTCCCTCCCTCTGCGCGCCTGCTTTGCGTTTCCTTTCCAAAGGAGCAAGGGCATCGAGCCGGCAGCAAGGCAGGGGCAGAGCAGCAGCAGTGACACCGGAGCAGAGCCACTTGTGGCTGAGGCAGCACTAGCATCCCTTGCTAGACCCCCGTTGCCAAGTCCGTTGTGGTCAATTGCTACGCTCCGGAGTAGCATCTCACTCCGTGCGTGTCTGTATCACTGTGATGTACCCACAATAAATTATCACAGTTGCCAGCAGCGTGTTTCTGTGCTCTGAGCATACGGCTGCATCTTGCATGAGGCACAGCACGAGTGTGGATGGAGGATGGGAGCTGCAAGGGGCAGTGCTGTTCAGTCTTCCAGAAAAGACTTGGGGGTGGGCATTGAAGGGGGAAAGGTGGAAAACAAGGGGAGAGGGAAAACAAGAGATGAGGTGGTACCAGAGATGGCTCCTGCTGCAGAGCAGGACACCAGTGGCTGCATCCCCTGCAGTAGCCTCGTCTTCTCAGGGCTAAGACATAAAGCTCTCAGTGTGCCACAGACCCTCTGTAGGAAGCTCCTCAGCTGCATCCACTACCCGTGCAAAGAGCTGAGAGGGTGTTTGGTGGGTCCCCTAAACCGTTTCTTCCACCTTTTCCTGATCCAGCTGTAAAACTAAAGCCTGCTCGCACGCCCCTGGGCAACCAGCAGCATGGACCATCAGCCTGGACTAACACCCGGCATCCCGACAGCGGCCAGCCCCCTGCTACAGCACTGGTTAAAACCCGAGTTCACTGCTGGTTTAATCCGTGCAGCTCAGCTCCGCAGGCGCGTGACTGCTCCAAAGGAAGCCCCCGACCGACACCGGCATTCCTGCGGGAAGCAAAGTCCTCTCTCCTACACCAGGTCCCTTTCGAAACCCGCACTTTGTTCAGAGAGGAGAGAAAGGAGCCAGAGGAGAGGGATCATCCCCCGGTGATTCTCATGCTGCCTGGGCCTGGGGCTGGCCTGCAAGCCAAGGGTGGGAGAGGCGGGTGCCTGAGGAAGAGCAAGGGATCAAGGGAGGAAGAACAAGGGATGGGAGCGTGCTGTGCAAAGAGCTGTGCACCCCATGGCTCCAGCTCAACCCAAGCGTCATGACTTGCCAGGCACTGACCTGTGCTCCTGGGAAGCCTTTGCTGCTTTGTGTTTTAAAGCAGGCTTTGGGTACGTGAACATTTCACTTCCTGCAGCACCACAGAGAAAGGGGCAAAGCCATAATCTTGGGAGGGTCGGAAGAACCAGATTCTCTCCCCAGACCACATCCTACCACCTGTGTATTGCAATGACACACGGCATTGCAAACGCTGTCTAGAAATGACAAGGCTGCTGGCTGGGAGGGACGAGCAAGGCATCACATTCTCACCTGCTGCAGCCAAAGCCCCCTGAGAAGCAGGTTGGAGGTCTCCTCCCTCTGCTCTCCATCACCGCAAATGGGGACAAAGCGGAGAAAGCAGCAGCAGCTCTGCAGCATCCCAGGGCCCAACACAGGCCTGGCTGTCGGGGCCCCAACAATCCCTGCAGGTAATGGCACTTCTGCCTCATGTAAAACCACCAGGAGGATGCAGGATTATCCCCCGGGAGCCGTTTATTCCTTAACAACAGGGAGCAGCACACCAGCAGCAGGGTGGGACCACGCTGACAATCCTTCTGAGAGCTCTGCTCATTACAATGAGTTTGGTGCTAGGAATGAGTCCTGGGGACATGTGTCCAATGTGCTGGGATAAAACCTCACCCCTGCGTGTGTCTCTCTGCGTCTCCCTCCTCCTCCTGTGCTGCTGTCAAGAAATTTGTGCTTGGTCAGAGCAGAGCCAGCAGCAGCAGGTAGAAGGGTGTCATTACAACACAGGGGCATGGTGTCAGCTCAATAGGTAATTAATTAAATGTTTCAGTTCCTCATTAATGAAGAAAACTGAGGTTTTGGCTGCAGGAAGGGAGCTACTGTCCCTCCTCTGTACTCATTTAAGTGCAGGCTCCTTCTTCCAAAAGCCCCTGGGCTCCTGCAGTGGAGCTTGCAGCGGGAAAGGGCTCAGAGAGATTCAGGGCTCGGGAGAGATTCTGGCACTGACAGTGAACACAGGCACTTCCTCAGGACCCACTCCTCTGCTCGCCTGCTCAGAGGTGCCAAACACAGATGGGCTTTGGCTAAAGCACAGGAAACGCCTGGCCCGGTGGCCTCCCGGGGACCCAAGATGAGCCCGTGCCCTGCAACACCAGAGTGGAGTGAAACCACAAAGGAAGTGTTTTCATTCTAACATAGAACAAATGCTTTTATTGCACTTTCAGAACAACTGTGCATAGTCTGAACAAACAGGGTCCCAACAACCGCCACCGCCCAACGTGAACACAGGTGCCCGCTGAGGGAAACGCAAACGGGGCACTTATTTTACAGAACATCAACACGAAAAGCCCACCACCACGAAAAAGGAGCCCACTGCAGCCCTCAGTGGCTGTTAATGCTCACCTGACAGTGAGCCCCCTGAGGGAAGAAGGACGTTTGAGGGGGGTTGCCCTTTGGATCTCCCTTAGCCAGGCAGAAGAGAACCTCCTCCTCTCACTGCTTTCTCAGTGAAGAGGAAGACTCTTGTGTATCTGCTCCTGCCAGGCAAAACACAAAAGCCCCAAACCTGCTTTGCTTGACCAGAATACTCAGCTGCCCATAGGACAGAGCGGGAGCCACTCTCCATCCCTGCTTCCTGATGACACAGCCCCGACTCCTGCTAGCAGGAGCTTGGCAGGACCATCCCTCAGGATGATGTGAAGGTGTCTGACAGGCCAACAGCAGCTCGTGGCCGCTCACCAGAGGAGCGGACCCTTGCTCTGTGGCTGTCACAGGCCTCAGGATCCGTGCCCAGGAAGCTGCGGAAGCAGAACCCCGCTTTATGTGGTGAGGTTTTGTCTCTGAAGTGCAATGCTGCCTGTGCCACTGCCACCTACGTACGAGCAGCAGAGCTCTGAGCGCGAGCCGCCCCTTCCCTCCCCACTCCCTCTCAAGCGCTGCCGGCGGACGACGAGTGGCGCGCAGCCACGGGCTACTGCACGGCGACGGCCGAGGCGCCGTGGATGGACTCCATGACGGCTGCAAAGCGGCTGCAGAGGTCGTAGGGGGAGTTGGGGCGGATCTTCGGCGGCTCCTTCAGGACGACGACCTCGCTGGGGCAGTCGAGGAGCCGGGGCAGGACCTCACCCAGCCTCATCTGCAGCTTCGCTGTCGAGGGGAGAGGAGGAGGCACTCAGTGGCACCACAAGAGTAAGACCCCAGACGGCTCTGGGGCTGTGGGCTATAAAGCCATGATGGGTGTTACAGAATCAGCTTCTGGCTCCCGAGGGCAGGGGTGAGCGGTGTCAGTCCCCAGCCTTGCCCAGGGCGCACAGAGCAGGGCCACCCCGGGTTCCCTGGGGCACAGCATCGGCTTTCCCAGTAAAGTCAGCTCTAAAGCACCACACAAAGACCCCTGGATCTGCTCCCCCACCCAGGATTCTGCAGCTCTGGCTGTGCTCCTGGACCCTGCTAAATTCCCTTGCTCTCTCCTGAAGAGGAGTTCAGGCCTAGACACTGCCCTGCCCATAGAGCCACAGCAAAGGCAAGGCCAGCACCATGCCCTACCGTCCATGTCTTCGCAACCCAAATAGGAGCACCAGCGGTTTCTCATGACCTCGATGGCATCCATGTCCTCCCTGGAGATCTCGAAGTTGTTCATGAGGTGCATGCAGGGGATGATCAGCTCGTTCAGGATGCTAATGCCCTCTGTCACACGAGCTTCTTCACAGCTTACGAACATGGATGCTGCCACTTCATTCAGCTTCTAGGGGAGGAGGGAGAATCAGGGGACAGAGCTGTGACAAGCAAGCACAAAGCACACGTCACCAGCATGCTGTCAGGAAGGGTCACAGCTCGGGGACCACGCAGAGACTGACAGAACCAGTGCCAGGTTCACACCACAGAAAGCAAACTGGGGTCTTGGCAACCACAAGCATGAACTAAAAGCAGTCCTCATTTTGATGCTCTTGTTTAGGCCCCCGAGGAACAGGAAATCATCATCTGCTCAGAGAGAGCAGGCTGTCAGAAATAAATACTGGGGGAGAGGGATGGGAATGGACAGAAACCAACGTGACCACTGAGTTAACACAAGCACCGAGTTAACAGCCAAGAGCACGCTCAGCAGCACCCGAACCTTCCCCAAACACGTGGCGTGTTCATTATGTGTGTTCCTAAAAGGGGACACCCCGAAAAGGAGTCCCACTCCCTGGGCAATGCCCAAGAGCAGCCGGGAAGCAAACTGTAGCACAGGCTGCTCCCTCCCTGCCTCTCCAGGAAGGAGCATACTGACCAGGAGACAATTCCTTCTGTACAAGGCAATCAGGGATTCGCTCACTCCTCTCTTGGTGCCCTTCTGCAGCAGCTTGGTGTTGCTCTGGTAGGCGTACACCAGGTAGGTGAGTGACTCCTGGTACCTAGGAGGGGAAGAGTGTCACCTCAGGAAACACCTTCCTCTTGGCCTGGATGGTAACTACCACCAGGCCCAACAGGAAGAGCTTCATTTCACTGCCAAAGACTAAACGGACAGATACCCTCCACCCAGGAATTAATGTTCCTTTTTGCCCAGGGTGCCAATGAGTGCCTCAGGAACACCCCTTTAAAGCCAAGTTGGAGTACGATGTGCCCCGAGCACGGCCGCCAGCGCTGACGCTTTCAGGTCTGCTCCAGGACATTTGGCCTCTGCGTGCAGCAGCAGCAGCAGCAGCAGCATGCTCAGTTCCTGCACACATTTGTAGCCTCTACCCCCCCCCGGTGAGAAAACAGCACAGCTGACAGGGATCGGGTCAGGTCAGGGAAGCTCTCAGCCCGCCTCTTGGCAACCTGCCCACCTGAATTTGGTATCTCCTCACTTCTAACCCCCTCAGGACTTGATTCTGCCTCCATCCACAAAGAACTTCTGAAAGCCAGTTTATTTTCTGCATTGGAAAAATCCATTTCCCAATTACAAATCCTTCACAAACTGGCACTGTCCTGCCCCGCACTGCACTGTGTTCATGTAAAATACAGGTTCTGAAACAGTGAGGAGGAAACCAACGCCTTTTAAAGGTTCTTAAGTGCCTAGAGTACTCCAAAGCATGTGTTTACACAAAGTAAAATGCCCAATTCAAGTTTAGTTTTAATACGGGAGTCCAAAGGGGGCACTTGTTCCTGCAAACCCACCTCCGGGAATTCTTCACAGTGGATAAATTCGGGGAAGCTCTAAGAACCTGCTAAATATCTCAAGTGCTAAGCAAGGCTGACTATGGATTCCAGAAAGGGCTATCAGCAAGCTACAAGAAAGCCTGCTGGCCACAAATACATGACTGAAGACAGAGAGGCCACCACAGGTCAGGAAGATGAAGTCTGTCCAAGTGGCCTTTACTGTCAGCCCACAGCTTACCTCATCTGAGTGCACAGCTGAAGGGACTTACTTCTTGTTCTGGTACAGCTCCAGCCCTGTCAGCAGGTAAATGGACACCTTGCGGAAGAGGCTGTAGTCTTCGTGCCATCTCTGCGAGGAAGCAGAGCGTCAGAGTCACCCACAACACGCACCTCACGTTCCTTCCCGGAGCCAAAGCACGTCACATCCTGCGCTCTGAAGGGCTCAGGCACCTCTCGTAAGCGACACATAAATCAGCGCAGTGAACTGCACAGACGTTCCTCCCAGCCAAGGAGGTGTCCTGTGTGCCCTGCCTCCCGCTCAGCTCCCTGCCACCGACACCACGGATGTGCCAACAGCCGTGCCAGCGACTGCTCCTCACCTGGGCAGTGCCAGTTGCCACAGCTGAGGGAGCAGGGGCAGCACTGGGGTCCCTTACCTTGTACTCCTCCATATTGACATCCTCAGGACCGATTTCTCTCAGCTTTGCTCGCGCTACCTTCATGATGTTAATGGACCTGCTCCGTGTAAGCAGAGAGGAGACCAGGATCAGAAGAGTGAGGCCCCAGGAAAAGCCCCACCTCGGGATCGGGGCACAAACCTTTCGTCATAGCTGAGGTTTTTGTCTGCAAACTGCTCCAGGAGGGTCCGTTCCACGACCTGCTGCGGAGCATTGTTCTGCAGGAGGTAAATGAGCACGTGCTGCAACCGGGCGTCGTTCTGAGGGGTCGGCGTCTCCTTGGAAAGCAAGTAGAGTCGGGAATACTCCTCGTGGAACGCCTGCCAACAAAGCACAAGGGCTAACACAGGTACAGGTGCCCCAGGCAGCTCTGGCAGGCCCTCCTGCAAGTGCTCGTCTTGTTCAAATCAACTGTAACACGCTTGTTTCTGTAGCGAGGTGCAAGACTACCTTGTGATTTATGTTCCTGCAGATTAACAGCACTGGTTGCTTCTCCCATGTGGCACACTTAGCTCAATCTACCTGCTCGTAAAATCTAACCCCAGCTTCAACATGCAGCAGCACTCACTCCTTCTGACCCCTCTGCTCAACGCAGACGCTTCTCAAGGACATGTTTTACAAGAGAGGTCACAGAAAGCATGCTCAGGACCAACAAAACTTCACGAGTGTTGGTTTGTTTCCTGCCTAGACAACAGGTTCTGAAAGGCACCCAAAGAAAGGCTACTTTGTGGTACCCAGACCGAGGGAACCGCTGATGCTAAAAGAATAAGCAGGAGAAATAGCAGAAAGTGAAAAGAGAAAGGCAGGAGGTGGTTTCCCCTGGGGGAGCGGGCTCTTTCTTACATGGTCTAAAGACTGTTTAGAACCCGTGGATCTGTCACCACAATGAGAGCAGAAACCACCATGCAGGACAAAGAGGCTGTTAGCTAGAAGGAAAACTCCACAAACCATTCCCTCCCCACTCCTGACACGTCAATGCAGCATAGATCCTTCCTTCTGTGAACATGGGTATCCATGAGAGTGGATTTAGCAAGCAAATCAGATACCTTAACAAGCCCTGCTTCAGACCCATCCCGATCAAAGGTCTGGCGGGCTTTTGCAATAGCCAGGATGACACCTTGCATGGCTGGACTCAGCATCACCTACCAGGAAAGCAGGGAAACAAACAGGAACGGGGAACACCGTAACAGACAGGGAAAGAAGAGAAGGCATGGTGAAGAACAGAGAAACTTCCACGAGAGAAGGTTTAAAGGAAATTGTACAAATACAGGCAGAATAAAGCCAGAGCTGCCATTTCCTGGTGTACTACTTACTCCATCAATCACATGCACTTTACATGCAGGAGGGCGCTTTAAGTGCTTAAAGGTCTAAAGGCTGCTCACTCCACACCTTGAGTTTGTAAACTCAACAAGTGAGAACATAAAGCTCACTTGCCATGTGCCTCTGGGCAAGGTCAATCTTCTTCAGGCATGCAAAGGAGGGAGCAGTGCCTGTGGGGGAGCAGCTCCACACGAGCATGCATTAAATGTGCTCAAGGAGTAACGGTCACTTGTGGAAAAGACTGAACTTCCACAGTGCTGCTCGGGTGCGTACGAGCGCGGTTAAACAGGCAGATTCAAAACCTCAGCAGCCGGGTGCTCTAAGTCATGCTGTCAGCGGTCAATGTCTTTGAGATAGGCATGAAAATGAAACTGGAGGCAGTGGGGAGGCCTGTACATAGACTAATACAGCTAGGTCCAATTTGGACATAGCTGTGCCAGAATGACGATCCACAGGAGCAAGGTGCAGCTCCAAGGACTGGGTGCTTTTACAGGGCTGATTTTCTGGAGCCATTTAGACACAAAATTAGTCAAGGATTTGGTCTGGCAGTGTCCATTCTCACGGTGGGAACAGGCACTTTGCAAGCAGCAGTGTTTCCACTGCTATTGCCCCCCAGCCTTAGCAAAGCTCAAAGCTAGCTAGCTACAAAGCCAGAGGTTAATGACCAGCAGCAATCGACCCCTGCATTGGGATCTGTACCTCCTCATTATATCCGTCTGCATCGGATCTAACGGGAATCTTCCCCACACTGGGGATTTCCACCTCAGAGACCTGTGAGCTACTGTGGGCAGCAGGCTCTGCTTCGTTAGCGTCCTGGGGCTGCTCTGCCTGACCCGTAGGGGCTGTTTCTCCCGCCTGGGCCTTCACTGGCTCTACCTCCTTGGGCTGTGGCCAAGAAAAAAGAAGAAAAAGAGTAAGAGGCAGTAAAGCAAAGCACAGGAAAGCAGAAGGGCACCGAGCGAAGGCGGCACGGCTACAGCATCGCACAGACACGGAGAAGGCGAGGAGAGCAACACAAGAGAAGAGCGGAGCGCGCCCCAGGCCAGGCTCGGGGCCTACCTCGCAGAGCGCGGCCTCGGCGCCGCTCCTGTCGTAGGTGTCGGCGCTGTTGGCGATGGCCTTGGCCGTCTGCTCCTGCGCGATGCGGGCGTGCTCGGAGGAGAGGGAGCGGGCGCAGGCCGAGGGCCGATCTGTGCGGCAGAGCAGGGCCATCAGCAAGCGCAACCGGCAGCATCACCACAGAACCCCCCCAGCCTCTGCACAGGATGGAGCGGCTGCTGCATTCACCCCCAAGGTGAAGGCTTCTGCGTGCCTCTTTGCTGCGGGTCTGGCACGTGCCAGCAGGGATGGCCAAGTAATGCCCTCCCTCTCCAGAGGGCGGCACTTGAAGCGTTTCCACTTGGTATTGTACGAAATAAACGAGTCTGGCAGTGAACTGAGAGCAGCCCATGGCCATTAAACGAACAGAAAACAGCCGTGGCGTTACCGGGGCCTGATTCCGAGGAGAGGTCCTGCGAGTCAGAAGTGGGCGAAGGCTCCCTCTGGGGAATCTTGCAGGACTGCTCCTCCTCCCACTCCTCGGCCTCGTGCTCGAACCGCCAGTTGTCCTCCTGGATGAAGCGCCTCAGGTCCAGGGGCAAGTCTTCAACTTCCTTCTGAAACTGCCCAGCCTCGGGGGCATCTGGAAGAAACAAGGCTGGCATGTAAAGGAACAGCAGCAGGGCTCCACCACGAGGCACCGAGTACACTGCACTCAAACCGGGTGAGGCACAAATGGGGAAAACCCAACTTTCTCCTAGCTTTGTAACTTAGGATGTTTCATTAAAAACAAGCGCAAAAATAAAGACAAATCTCCAGAGTTATCTGCAACAAAACCCAGTTTGTTCTACCACCGGACAGCATTTACCATAGGGAGTCCAGAAGCAGCACTTGCTGATGCAGTTGGTCAGAAATGCGTCCTCACTCAAGGGCTACAATTGTACAGAAAATGGTATTTCAACTGCCAATAGCTGGAAAATTCCCAACCCAGATGGAGAGATCGTACCTAGGACCCTACACAGCAGATAAAGGTGGGGAACTGTGCGGGTTCCATGGCATGAATGCTGCCCTGGTGTTTTTCAACACCTTTTAGATTTACTTCAGTATTGGTTTTAAAATAGCACAAAACCCCAGTAGCATCAGCTTGAGACAAGCCCTAGAACGTACCAAAAGCAAACGGCAGTCCTCTACACTGGAGATTTCTTATGCAGCCATTGCAAAAGCATCTTCAAAACCCCACAAAACTGCACTAAATAGGAGGAAAAAAAAAAACAACCCCAAACCAAACCATGGATTCATTTCAGCAACAGAACTGTCACAGGCACCAAACAAAGAACGACCTCCAGATCCTCATCAGCCACATTTAGTGATGAACAGGATGACAGTTCTCCATTGTTTCTTCTCTTTAATACATCAAAATGAACCACGCGTGAAATTATTGGGTTCTTCCACAGCTGTTTGCCATGTATAGTGCCACGTGCACAGTAATTTCTCCACATAACTATTTATACATTGGCATTGCACACATACTTGCAAGTCTACGCCACTGCCACCAAAACCTCATGCAGCAGGAAAGGCTGCATAAAAACTCAGCCCCTTAGGTTCAATGTAATGGGATCACTAAAAACCAAGCCAACGAGTCAGAAAGTGATAAAAACAGGAGAAAGAAAGCGGGAGGTGTTTCACATGCCCTCATAAAAGCAGCACTCTCATATAAACTGCAAGGAGTCAAAGTGAAAACCACCAGCACTAGAGGCATATTGAAAGTGGCAAAAGAGGAGAGCCTGAATGTTTGTACATGTTAACAATGCACTGTACCTGCTCTCACCACTGGAGTTCATTCCTCACTTTTCAACCCTACCAAGGATTTAGAAAGGAATCGAGCGTGGAGCAAATTATTTCACTTCTATCTGGGGCTAAGTTTTTTGCGCTGTCAAAGGACAACTGTGCCAAAGAGAAGCTAAGGAACGTAATGGGCACACCAGCTAGAGAGACACGGTGATAACCAACGTGGGACTAAGCAGCAGCTCTGGCACCAGTACCTGCCACAGAGCGGGACACCTTGTCACTGATGTACATCAGGCAGTAGGCACTGGCATTCCTCAAGCCCCCGAATGAATCTCTCTCCACCTCTTCCCACGAGGATTCTGTCACGGAGATGTCGTTGTATTTGAGCCAGCTTTTCCGAGGCTGGTCGTAGATGAAGGCCCAGTAGTGACCAGCATTCGCTTGCCCTTCGTGTACCAGGACCGCATGCAAGCGATAGGGAACCTGCAAGTGCACATGGACAGTGCTCAGGGGGACGCTCAGTAAAGGATTTTCTCTGACCTCTGTGCAAAATTTACAAGTAAATTCATAGCTGTAACCTGGTGCAAGACACTTGATTCATTTGGTAAACTTTCCTACAGAGTGAGAACTGACTTGTGCAGGGAAAAGCAACAGGATTTTCATACAGAATCCTTTCTCTGCTTCACCACTGGGATTTTGAAATACAACAAAGTGGACAATTCCAGCTGACAGCTACTAACAAAAACCAGTAACAGCAACATCACTTTAGTACTTCCCCAACGCAGCTGCATCTCCTACCTGCTGGAGGAGGGGGTCACAGTATATTTGCTCAATGGACAGGTTGATTCTGGCAATAGATCTCTTCAGATCTGCCAAGAACATCACAAGTGAGAGAAATACATCAGAATTCATGACTGCCCATCAGCCTATTCCAGCCCCTGCCACCTCAAAGTTTGAACCCTGCAGTAACTATCAAAGACACTTAACAGCAGAGCTGAAGTGCGTACAAGGTTATTCCTAGTTCAGGGTGTATCTGGCTGGAGCAACAGAGGGGAAGTCGGGCTGGCACTCAACAAAGATCACGACAAGTATGTTTGGGGCCAACCTTGTATGTCTTGCTCGACCTCATTTCTCCATCGCTCCAGACAGGTCCGAACCAGATTCAGCTCCTCCTCGGAAACCACATGAGGAGCTGGGTGCTCAGACGTTGCTGGGGCTGCAGCAGAAGGCTGGCGTGGAGCACTCGAGTCTTGCTGAGGCGAAGAGAAAGCTCCATCTTCTGTCCTACTGTCCCTCCTTTCCAGTGTGCTATGAAGCAAAATCCAAGAGCAGTGGACAAATAAAAGCCAGAACTCTGCAAGCACAGATTCCACAATGAGCAGTTCTAAAAATCCCTTCCCTTACTACAAGAAACTCATGTATTTACTCAGCTTAATTTAGAGTGTAAAGCAACCATGCTGGCCAGGCCTGTAATAATCCAATATTGCAGTAATTTACTGGTTAATGAAGCAAAAAAATTAGTAGGCTAACCAAAAAGAGGTTATCATTTAGCTCAGAATTGCTGCAGAGACAAGGAATATGGTGATGATTTTGGAACAGGAAAAGGAACAGACTAGATGCAGCATTATATTTACACAAACAGAACCAAGTCAGGAGCAAAGCAGTGAGCGAAGCTTGTGTGGGCCTTCAGACAGCCCAGCCCCATGCTCCCAGAGCCAGACAAGTAACCAGCTCCCAGGATACAAACCAGGAGCGCTGGGCTGAGAGGCAAAGTGCTCTCCTGCACACTGTTCTTACTTCTGTTTACTAACCCGTTTGGTTGTGAAAGCGCGTCTGAAACACAAGGCTCGGTTTGGGACTGCAGGGGTGTTGTCTGGGAGTCCTGAGCAGGAGGAAGAGCCACAGCTGGCTTTGTGGCAACGAATTCCAGCACATACTGGATCATGTCGGGCAGTGGGAAGCGGGCCGGGCCAGAGCCGTACTTCAGGTACCTACAGGAAAATGCACAAAGGATTGGGAGTGGTTAAACCTGAGGGGACAACGGAAGAGCGACAGGGGGGAACCCTCTGGGTCAGGATGGGGATGGTTTGAGCAGCGAAGGAAGGAGGGGAATATGCAGGTGTTGCAGAGGGACAGGACTCACCCTCCCCGCAGCTGACCTGGCAAGCTCTGAGGCAGTGGGGCAGTGCTCAGCAGCGGCCGAACGCTGCTGCGCTATCAGCAAGGCTCAGCCACAAACCCCAGCACAGGACCAAGCCGAGCGCTGCGCAGACCATCGACTCCACCCCAGCCTGTCCCTGCAGGATGCTATGCATGGGCTTAAATGTGAGGTGTCCTCACAGCACCCCCGAGCCCCTGGTGAGCACAGACCCCACCAGGGCCACTGTGACACAGTGCACCTCTGCCTGCCACTACTTCACAGCACTGCCAGTTCAAAGAGTGCAAACTGTGAGCGGGTTTAAAGCCAAACAAAGGGACTTTTACACAGAGCACCTGGCATGTGAAATCTTTTGCCTGTCTGCAATTCCTATTGATCTCCTTCCTTCCCCAATCAATAATGCCAGAGAAGTTGTCTAATAGAAAAACTAATGCAGATGCTTCTCGGAACAAGCTCGTTCTGTTTCTCCTTCCCCTCTAAGTTTTTGTTCCATTAGAAAGCTCTTTTAAATGGAAGCATTTGCAGGCTTCCAGGGGGTACAAAACCAAAGCCGACTCCTTACCTCTCCAGTTTCTCCTGCAGAATCACCAGTTTCTCACTCAATCTCTTAACCTCTTCTCTCTTCTTCTGAATAAGCTCTTTACTGCAGTAGAGGTACCTAAGCAGGGGAGTACAGAGCCACATCAGATTTGTCTACTCCTAACATTCACTGTCTTTTGCAACTGTTTTAGAATCCTTCCCTGCTCACCTGCACAACCCTTTTAATGTCTTTAATGACAATAAGGTCTTAAACATTCCACACCACTCACCTGTCCATGTAAATGGTCTGGGGAAATTCTAGCTTGGTGTGAATCTTCTCGGTGTGTCCCAGCGACTGATTGAACTTGAATCGGGAGAGCTCAAAGGTCAGCACAGGGGGGAGCTTTGTAAACCAGCGCTGGAACAAAAGCACAAGTGCCCCCAGAGGGACTTGGTTTGAGGTGACAGATCCTCCGGGATTTCAGACTCATCCTAAACGTATCTGCCTTTAAATACCAAATCAGTGACAATTTTCTTCACGGAATGATTAGTCAGAAAGCCAGATTTTATGAGATTAAAATTCCTGCCTCCATTTTACATCTGTACCACAAAAAAGCCTCACAACAGCTTTCAGAAAGTTCCTTTTCATTGCCTGATGCATCCAGCTTGATGGATTCTTAACAGGTCCAGCCCTGAGTTTTACAAAATTAGCAGACACTGCACAACCTCTGTGTGTCAGCTAAGAGAACTCTTTTTCAATGTGGGTCACATGCAATGACGAAGAACAAAAGGAAGTCCTCAGGCAGTACCTGATCCCTTTCCTCTCTCAGGCTCTTTACAAACTGTTGGATTCAGGAGGGTCAGAGGAGACCCCCACTTCCTCTGCAATCCACACACTGCTTCGAAGAGCCAGGCTGAAAGAACAACTCTTGACTGGATTTACACTTCCTCTCTTGCTGGGTTCACAAATACCTAAAGCACCCTGTGCCAGAGGTTTCCTTCTCCTGCCTCAGCCTGCACTACCCCGGCGGTGCTCCTGCCTGGACATGGGATGAGCATGCTAAGCTCATTTTCCTGTGCAGGATTCATGTCAGCTGTCCTGCCACAATAAATCTGCCCTCCACACTACAGCTTTCCCAGAAGCCCAGAGCAGGAATGATTTATGCACCTATTACCTAGGAGAAAGGCAAGTTCTCGTTAATGTCACTGATGCTCAGAGCTTCAGCACACTCACCTACGTTCTCAAAAGACAAAATGCACCTTATTCTCTATGTCCCCTATCACGCAGTCCTCTAGCCACGACACCCTAGGAAGTGAAATTAAGATGCACAGTGTTTCCAGTCATATTTCTTAGAGACAGAGCAGGAGCCTTTTCCTTCTATCTGTACAGACAATAACTAAAACATCTCCATGATCAGTCCATTTCCCTTAGTTTTGATTTGGAGGAACTAAAAAGCTTGGATTGAAAAGGACCGGCCCAACCAGCTGCCTACAGCCCTTTGGCACCAGCCTACCATGGTTTCACCTATGCGGGCTGCAAATGCATCTGAACAGTTTCAGGCAGGAACTAGGAAAAGCAGAAACAGGATTTGAGGCCACTGAGTCCAGAGCTGGGCAAGGCTTGCCCATCCCAGACCTGATTTCTCATAGAACTGAAATACCTTTCCCTGCCCTCTCTATGTCAGACCCCTTTGCAAACGCCTTCATGTAAAGTCCCATTCTTTCTCTGAGCTAACTTCTCAGCTGCAATTGCACATGCAGGATGCTGAATGTGATGGTACACCTTTGCTTTCCACTTTGCTACAACTGAGTATTTTATGATTGGTTTGTGATTTGCGAGATTAAAAAGAAAAACACCAGAAAGTCACCAAAAACAAAAAAGAGGAAAAAAGAAAAAAAAAAAAAATCAGCAGAGAAGATAAAAGCGGAAACGAGAAGAAAAAACAACAACAAACACACACTGTAATAGGGAGAAAGATACAAATTCCAAATGGCATACCATAGAGTTAAGCACTGTACTTTTACCCTCCAAAAAGAGGGAGGCAGTGGTTCTCCCCCTACTCAGGTACAGGTAGGCTTCAATAGAAAGAGAGAGACTTTATCACACTTGCATGAGCAGCAGATGTTCACCTTTTCAATTTAAAACATCCTCCTCAAATTGGTCACACAGGACAACACATCTTTACAAATAAGCATGGACTTGGTGTCTCAGCGTTCATACATTTACGAGAGATACAAACATATCAGTTTGTACTCATTCATAGAGAACATTTACAATTGCCTTTTAGAGTTGTTAGACTATAGTGAGACACCCCTGTGCTATACGTGCTGCATCTTCTGCAGCAGGCAACCAAAAGCTCAACACAAAAGGTAGAACTAACCTCCTGCCTGTACTTGCCCGACTGAGATGTGGCTGCTTCCTGCATCTCTCCCTCCACCATGGCTCCTTCCAAGCACTCATTCAAGTCTCGATAACCATTTACCTGAAGGGGATACTGACCAAAGGTTTCGATCTTGGAAAAAGCATTGCCTGGATAACAGAAAGGATACAACGCCCATGAGTGAAACTGAGAGAACAAAACACTCTGGTTAGCTCAAAGAGTTTGTTGCCAGCACCAGTCAGAGGCACTACTTGCAAGAACTGTGTAGCTGCTCACACCTCTGTCAGGGTAAGCCTCCTTACAACCAACTGCTTTCAAAACACGGGCACTTGCAAGCATTTAATGTCTTCAGAAGACTGACTTTGTAAATGTTATGGTCCATTTTATCAAGACCATTTACAGAACTAGGCAGTTTCACAGGGAATGTGCAACAAAATGCTGCATCACTGCTGCTATCAATTAAAACACTCAAAGGAGCTGAGAAGGGAATCTACCAAAGCCCCAACTCACCCTCATGGACACCCTCAGTCAGGAAAGTCCCATAGAAAAGCTGTACCATTGGGTTTTCAGACTTGTCCTCGGGGCTTCTGTTTCAGAAAGAAAAAGCACACATCCATTTACTGCTGAAGGATGCAGAAAAGCCCCAGTCACAACCTAAGCCTTGGCCCGGGAACCTGTCTGCAGTCCCCAAAGTTTTCTATCCAAGCACAAAATGCAGAGGGATCTTCTCATGCTCAAAAGCACATTATAACATTTGCACTGGCAAGACAGGGTGCAAGTTACAGCACTACCTTTGGAAATGCAGCTCCAAACCCCCAGATCTTCCACGTACACAGTTCTGTTGAGCTCCTCTAAAAAGCTTATTTACCCTGCAAGCCATATGGGCACCGATCAAAGTCCTACATATAGGAAATGCAGACGTAACGCTTCAGGAGCATATTTTGAGCTTAAGGAGCATCATCCTCAGGCAACAAGGAACTCTCATTTACTCCAAATTTCTGTGTAAAGCCCTCTCATTTATTAAGGCATCCCATTTAAAATCTGTTTCTCCTCAGCATCAACCTCCCAGGACCACAGAAAACTCACTTGGCATTCACAGTGAGCTGGAATGCGTCCTCCACCCAGTCCAGCAGTTTGTGTGTAAATTCACTCACATCTTGCTAGAAGAGAGACACAAGTCGAGAGTCAAGCGTACCAGCAACCAGTGAGTGCCTTCACCGGCTGCTGGTTTCGCCACCCTCCAGCACACGACCCGAGCGGTGCTGCTGTGCCCACCCTGCTGCAGGAAGCCTGCAACTAAAGTGCTGATTTAGACCCATAATGAACACTCTGCTCGTCTGAAAACTAGATCAGAGGGAATTACAGCGATGGCTCCCCAACGGCCCAGCTGGCGCTGGCAGCGCGCTGCTACGCTGCCTGTTTAATTAGCACGCACGTACATTTCCCCTAAATGGCACAGGGACAGCTGCTTGGCGCTTGACAAACATGGGAAGGGGCCTCTGAAAGCCATAGTGGGATGAAGTGAAATAGGGTTGTTGTGGCTGCAACTGCTGCTCTCAAGAACGCAAAAGGCTTTTCAGCGTGGTTTTACCTGCTGCTCCTCAGTGGATCTGAACGCATCCCTCAAGAGTTCCAGCGCTACAGAAGGGTCTACAAACTTGCGCCAGGTCCCCAGCATTAGGGCAAACAGACACTGAAGTTCTAGCATGAATGCAATGTTTCTCTTTTCCTGCATTGCAAGAAGAAAAGCCAAACCCTTCCCACAACTGACAAGAGAGCATCTTAAACCAAAGTGCTACAGAACACTGCATGCACACACCTCGGGAGGTACGCTAACAGCCAATGGAAGGGGTGACATAAAAGGACAAAGCAGAAGGACATGCAGTGGCATTTCTTGGAAGCAAGAAGGATGCATGTAAGACACAAAATTAACCAAAAGGAAACCTTGAGAGACAAGAGCATCAGAAGCAATGCTTGCTATAACAGAAAGCAGAAGCTGGTGAATTTATGTATTTATTCTGTCTGCATCTGAGGATTTTTGGAGCATGAAGAGCACACAGGGACACAAATAAAGCAAAGTCTCTTAAACAGCAGCGGCCACAAGGCAGAACAATGCAACAGGCAAAGGGTTATTCTCCATGTGCATTTTGCTCTAAACATCTTCTAAGCACCTTCTGCTACGGATGCTCTCAGCAGGCATAGGGGGTAAAGGGACCCTCAGCCTGGCTCAAACACCAGTTCTTCTACAGTGCATGCGAAGAAACAAGCAGTCTGGAGCTACCAAAGAAGCTGTATGGCACAAATTTCTCCCCGCGCCACAGTTAGAAGCTCTAGAGGGAAAGCTTTACAAGAAGCACCCAATTTCTTTTCTACAGTGATTCTGTCCTTGAAAAGCACTTCCCAAATTTATCTTTAACGTAATCTGACTATTTGGAAGCCATTATCACAGGCACAGCGGTCTCAGATGGCCCCAAATTAAATCTGCTTAGGGAAAGAGCAGGACAGGATACTGCAACAGAGGGGAACTTTACAGTGTCCCTCGATGAAAACTTACAGTGCGAGTGTGACGGCTTTGAAGCTCAAGCTCTGGGGGGTTGTACCCAAGGACCAGCCTCCGAAAATCTGGCAGCTGAAACAGAGACTGAAAGGAGAGGAGAGGCAAGGAGCAGTTAGTGTCTGCGAGTATTCGACTCCTGCCCCAGAGTCACTCTTTACCCAACAGCTTTTTCCTTAACTTCTAACCCTCCGATGGCCGCGTGGTACTAAATAAACATTGACCAAGTGAGCAGTCTGTGTGCTGGAACTGCACATTTGTACTCACCAGAGAACAAAGTCTCATCCTGCTATTTCTGGGACATTATACACACACACATACACATATATATAACCATTTTAGGAAAGAGTATTCTGTTTGCCATAGGCAAGCTTAGGAAAAGCATCCAGGAACAAGTCCCAGTGAGAAACGGGCCCATTTGAAGATGTCTTAATTCCTCTCAAAGCTGGAGACATGACTGATGTCTATCTGATGATGTGAAATGGTTAGAAGAGACCAGTCTCCTAAGTTCCACTTACTGCTGTCCCTTCTTGCTTAGGTTATCACTAATAATATAAACTGCCTTGCTGCTTATGCATTCCAGCATCTATGCCAGCATATTCCATTAACTGGAATATGATACACTGTGTATTATGGAGCCAACAATAACTGAAGTAAAATTAAATTATCAGTGCCCTTTGCCAGTCCAGCTTGTCATTCAGTAAGCATCTGGACATCACCACACCAAAACCCCTGCGTACGTATGCACAGATTATATGTGTATCTATAGTTACACAAAGTCCATTTAACTGCTCTTTGGCTCCTTCTGTGCACGCCCAGGGTAAATCACAATCGTATCAAATCAAACCAGAAGTCTCATCTGGGCACAGTCACGCTCCCTCATCCACGATGAGCTCACGATGACCACTTCACAGAGCTGCTGCATGTTTATTTCTGACTGATAAACACTTGGACTCCAGGACATCCAGTTACCTGTATGACAGCACTAAACCAACACGTGTTTCCAATGTTTTTCACCCCAACAGGCCAGTCGCCCACTCTCCTCCAGTCACTGTGCTTGGGGTTCTCTCCCCAGACTTCACAGTGTTTCCTTTTGGAGCCGCTTTTGCTTTCAGCAGAATGTACTTCCTGTGGCCTGTGACAAAAGAAACACCATCTCATATAGGCTCTCTGCAACGATGGTTGTACCCTCCCCTAGCCACCAGTGGGACACTAGAGCTGGGTGCTGTGGGGTGACATCCAGCACAACAGGCAGCAATGTCTTATATGACACAGAACTGGTGGCCTCAGTCATTACTGGAGGCAAATCTGATCCACAGCAAGAAGGATATGGAGAGGTACTGACTGGAGGGAAGTGAATCAACATGTGAAATTTCAAGCTGTTTCTGCAGTAGGTGCTGTAACACCAGTACAACCAACTAAGCCACCTTGAAACCTGCTCTTTCTACTTCTACCCAGGGACAGCCATAACCCAAGCACCTTCTAAAAGCAGAAGGCATACATCTGGTAGGCAATTTTAGTTTGTTTGGCAGTAAACATCTGAAGAACCCACTTACAATACCGGGAAAACCAAATGCAGTTCATGGAGCTACTGACCTCTCCGGAGCATCCCTCTCTGCAGCCTGAGTTTTTGGTGATGCCAGTGGTGTGAACGTGTCGATTGCACGGAGGTCATCTTTGTTGTTTGAGGTAAGTGCAGTAGTAACATCTGGAAGCAGAGGCAGTGTTCAGTTTCCTCTTTAAAAGGAACTTCTAGAAAATGTTACACTTTACCAATATGATTTTTCCATTGATACGAGCAGCATTTCCTAGCTCAGGCTTTAGATACAAATCCTTGCGCCTTGGATCACGCCAGGGAACCTAAAAAGCCACTGAGTGGGCTGGACGAAGAGAACAGGACAGACCTTGCAGCTGTCTGCTGGCCAGATTTTCTTACAGCCAAATTCAGAGCTTGAGGGAGCATTGCAAACCTCTTGAAATACTGAAACAGGCACCTCAGCTGCTGCTTGTATTTGCTATGCCCTGGCACAGTGCTGACAAGTGACATAGGATTGCAATGAAATCAGCACGATCACAGAGAATCACCTCCCTTCACTCATGTCAGGATGCACAGCTATGAGCCATTTCATGTACTAGTTATATAGGGAAAGAGAAGAAAGGGAAAGGAGTCATTTTGGAAGAGGTGGAAGCCTTAGATGGCACAAGGGGCAGCTGTGCTCTTCTGGGTGCTGCTGCGAGGTTCCCAGCAGACGTTTGGCACTGTGAACCTGCCCATGATGATATCACTTGGGAAAGCTCCAGTTAATAGATGTGTCATTAGCAAAAAGGCTTAAAGAAACTATTCTCAGCTACCTCAGTCCACAGTGACACTCCTCACATGTGAACGTGGCAAACTGACAGCTGCTTCTGCCAATACCCATAATGTTTACAGAAACGTTTTTCATGTAGTCAAATTGCTGGCTCAAACACTGTAAGTTTCCTCAAGATATGACAGCAAACACTCAAGAGTGCCTGCTCTGCCAGCAGATGCTGTCGAAGGCAATGTATGCCTTGACAGGGATTCCCTTCTCCATTCCGCTTGCTCTGCTTTAGGAGCTTTCTGGGATTTCTGTGCTAGCCAAGACCAACTGTTTAGAAGGAGGGTAGCTTTGTAACTGTGATGTGCCACCTACAGTCACTGCTAAACCCCTGGTAAGTCACTCTCCCCCAGGGATGTGCTGGTGGAGGCAGAAGGACCCACACTTCCCCTTCCAGCTCAGGCTGGACCACGTGCACCTGCAGGGGCGAGCAGAGGTGAAGGACTCACTCTGTGGGAGCTGCTTGCCCACTGCGCTCCCTTCCCAAGCGGACGGCTCTGCAGCAGCCACATCCTGAGCTGGCTCCTGGGCATTCTCCTCTGTCAGGAAGGTGACTGCTTCCATCAGGTCTCCATTAGCAGCCTAGCAGGATGATAAGGGAAAACAAACCCATAGTGGCAGGGTTATTTCATGCACGCTTGCCTGGCATTTAATGCATCTGGCGTAGAGATATGCACACTACCACCAACTGTGCTTTTCCTGGGTATGGAGCAAGGAACCTGCTGGTGCCAAGCAGGAGTAAAATCCCAAACGAATAAAGGCCAGAATGTCTCTGTCGGAGAGCACTTTGGCTATGTTACTAGACAATGCTGACTCCACTAATTTCATTTCCCTAATGAGATCCCCTTACAAGAGTCACAGTAGGCATGAAGCACGACAGGACACTGCCACCAGGAGAGACTCCCAGGAATCAAACTCTCTGTGTATTTCAAGACCTTACCGAGTCTCCTACTGAGCCAGGGCTTTCTTCAGAGCAGCACTACAGGCTTTAAATGTATTCTAACATCTTCTGGACATTACTGTTTAATGAGATATTTACGGATTTTGGTAAACAAACCTCTCTGTGTACTATCAGCACAAGCCACATCCTTCTGATGATGATTCCAGACTGATGCAGTTGCAATCACTTTAAGACCACAAGTTCCAAATCCTAAAGCATGCAGCATGAGGAGGAATCCTTCCAGGTAAACATTGCTTCTCCAAGCACCTGAGATTCCCACTTCTCCTTGCTTTGGAGCAAAGACTGTTTTGGTGACAGACAACCACCAGCCACGAAGCTAGCAATGCTCCCGCAGCTGTCCACAGCTCCCACAGCAGTGTACGTGGACAATAACCACCCAGCAGGTCCAAGGTGTGTGTTCTCCATCCCTGGGTAACAGCCCTCTGCACAACCCCCAGGAAATGTTTATGAAGTTTTAGCCCAGCACACGCTGCTGCAGAGCAGGTTTTAAGGTCCACTGCCAGAACAATGAACTGCGCTCTGCTTAGTGGGGGCTTTTGCTGCAGATGCAGGTGAACAACCCTATGAACCCCAAAACCAGCCTGGTGTCTCCACCTGCTTCCCTGCTACACCTGGACAAGGCACAGGCGAGGGGCAGAAAAGCAGTGAGGATTTGCTCACCACCCTCACAGGAAGCACACTGCTCCACCCAGCACACACCGAATCGCTGTCCCAGGCTGCCCACCCGACCCATGCACTGTGCTTCGAACTTGCCTGACTCTCAGGTCTCCTTTCCACAGAACAATGACAACAGGCACCAACCTTTAGAGCAGCATGAAGGAAAGAGGAGTCTTGAATTCCTGTGATCTCTTTCAGCTGGTCTAAAAGCATCTGGCAGTCCTACATGCAAGAAATAGAGAAAGCTTATGTGAACAGGCGACCAGGACAGACACCAAGCTGCTCCTGCGAGGCTCACCAAGGGCTCACCGGAGTATTGCTTCTTCCTTTCCCTTTTACTGACAGCTTGGCACAAAAACCTGCTCACACTTGCTTGCCGGTTACACCAACATCGTACCCAGATCTTCCCCCTAAACCTGCAGGCTGAGGCTCGAGCCGCTGTACCCCACGAGGACGGCAGCAGGCCTGAGAGGCTGTGGGATGCTGGGCACCTGCGATGGGAAGGGGCAGCCCCCCCCGGGGAGCCCAGCATGTGCAGCGGGACATATAAGGAGGCTGCCTGCCGCCGGGGCGTTGGCGAGGGGCTATTTTAAGTCTGGCTGCACATGCCATTTGTGCATGTCATTTCTCACTGACAATGAGGTGTCAGGAGAGGGGCCCAGGAGCCTGCAGTCGCTTCTCCTTCCCCCACCACAGCCGCTCGAGGGCCAGGGAGAGCCTCACTCAGGCCCTAAGCCACGGTCAACAGCCTGCTCTTCAGCTCAACCGCTTAAATAAACTATGACAGAAACACTGCTTCCCAGACATAGGAAATCTCCGCAGCCCTGGCTTGCCACAGATGCAGCCCTCTCACAGGAACCCCCTCCAGCAGCCAGCCCTGATGCCATAGGTCCCCTTCTGTGGCCACTGTTCAGCTGCAACAGCGGTATCCCATGGGGAGGATGGAAAACCAGCCAGGCTGCATCGTGTCTGCCTGATTTATAAAGGCTATGCAGGACCCTGCTGTCAGCACAGGCCAGCAAATCCCAGCTCCTGAAGATCACGTTTAACCATAACTAAATGGATAAATTCATGTTTCTACTTCCTCTCATCACTGGCAGACAATGTAGGATGCTTTCATGCCACTGGAGCCTGGGCTCCACCCAGGCACCTACTTCTTGTGCCACCACCCATAGTGCTGACAGATACTACCTCATACATAACCACCAGAGACAGCGTGCAAGAAAGTGGGCAACACACAGAAAAGTCCTGGACTGTTTCCTGAGGGAGCTCCCCCAAAAAGTTATTCCCACCTGGAATCCTGCTTTTGCTCAACTCGCACAGGATGCGCAGGAAAGCATCAGGCCCAGCAGGCAGTAGGGTGAGGAACCCCACACCAAGAAGCCAGGGCTCAGGGCATACATACCTCCACAATGGCAAAGCACTGATATCATGTTGCTAATTCTGCTGCCTCAGCGAGCAGCCAACCCCACCAAAGGCCGCAGGGCACGTTTTTCCATTGGAGCAAAGAACCCTGGCTAAGGAATTGTGCTGCAGAACGAGATCCAGGGCAGGACAGGGCATGATTCTGTGCTCCACCAAAAGCAGACTCACAAAGTGCTGCAACCACAAGAGCTAATTACAGATCCGGTGCTCTAAGCTACCATCAAATGTACTAATGATTTCCAGCACAATTTATTTCAGCCTGTGAGGAGGAAGGTTTGTGTTAACAGCGCAGAGCTCATCCCGTGCAGCCAGTTCCCAGGGGCAGCACACAGAAGCCACTGGGAGCACAACAGTGAGCAGCTTTCGGGGCACACACATGGTGTTGCTCTGACTGCTCTGGCTGGTGGCTGTTTGAGGTTACGTGCCGGGGTGCTTTAAAACAAGCTCCAGAGCTGGTAATTAACACCAGCGTGCTGCCACTATTAATATAAGCCACAAGGAAAAACCAAACCAAAGCCTTACCTGCCAGAAAAACAACAACACGGACCAAAACGCTATTAGTGTTAAATTACAGCAACAGGGGAGGAGTGCACGACCAAGAGGAAGGAGGGCACTGGAGGTGAGAACTGCACGCTCGGCCAGTGAGGGATGGCACAGAGAGCTTGTGCCCTTTTCCCCACTCGAAGGTGACTCAGTGGGCTCAGCAGCAGTTCGTTTTGATGAGAAGCTAGAAGCAGGGAAGGGTCTGAGCGCACCACAGCAGCTCAAGGGGGTTCCAGAAATAACTGCAAGCAAAGAGGAGGAGGAGGAGGAAAAGGGGGGCGGTGGCATGAAAGAAGCTGGCAGAGCCACAGCCTTCGGCCTCAGCACCTCATGTGCAGTTTTTATGGCAGCAGGAAAACGGATTTGAAGGACTAAAACCCGGGAGGCGGCAGCAGGAACAATGCCCGCGCTCCTGACCAAGGCTTTCACCGACCAGCTCCCAGCACGGGCGGAAGCAGCGGCCGCTGAACAACCCCTCCACCACCACCACGTGCTCCCGTGTTGTCGTCCCGACACCGTCCCCGCGCAACCGGGAGCCGCTTTCAAACGCACAACGACGGGGCCGGCGCCCAGTTCCCACTCCCGGGGGCGCTCCCCGTGCAGCCCAAGCCGCCACAGCAAAGCGCAGGCACCGCTGTAAGCTGGCGGCAGGGCGGGCACGGCGGAGGAGCACCGAGCCGCGCTGAGCCCTGCGCTCCGGCTGCCTCGGGAGGCAGCTTCAGCAGAGCCCCGCGGGGTCAGCGCAGCCGCTCGTTAGTGGCACAAGGCGCTGGTTTGGAGATGGGGAAAGCTGGTTACTGCCCGAGCCCCCCGCGCTCCCCGGGCTGCAGCCGCTGCGCTCCCCAAACCGGAGCGCCCGCGTCCATCTCTACAAAGGCAAAGACAAGGGGAGCCGGGCGAGCGCCCGGACGCTGTTCCGAATGAAAACGCTGCAACACGGGGCGCGAACCGAGCCCCCCGGGGGGGAACCCGCACCCGGGGGCACCCAGCCGCGCCCTCCCCGCCTCCCGCTCTCCCCCGACCGCCGCTGCCGTCTCACCGCGCCGCCGCCGCCGCCCGCGGCCTGCAGCTCGGCCGTCATGCGGGCCCGGAGCGCGGCCGGCGCATGCGCCCGCCCCGCCGCCTGCCGCCGGCACCGCCCCGGTCGCGGCCCCACCGGGCATCAGAGCCGGGCCCGGCGGGGGCTGTGTGTGTATGTGTGTGTGTGTGTATGTATGTACGTGTGTATGTGCGTGTGTGTATGTGCATGTGTGTATGTATGTACGTGTGTATGTGCGTGTATGTATGTGCGTGTGCGTATGTCCGTGTGTCGCTGCCCATTGGCACACGGAAACCGTTTAAAACACTCAAATAAACAACCACAAGTTTCGTTTTAACCCTGTCTCGGTCCCGGCCGTCCCCCGCGGGTACCGGGCACCTCCCACACCGGAGTTTTCCCACGGGGCTTGCTTACCTTAAACACGGAGTTAACCGTAAGGCTGCAGAGAGCAGCTCAGCCTCGCACTCGGAGCGCCAGGTCAGGGGGGTGGCTGTATTATGTTTAGCAGCCTGATTAATGCCGCTGTGACTAATTAGGGTGCAGGACAGACGCTGGCTGTTTGCACAGCCTCAGGTGAAGACCTGCCCCTCCCTCCCTCCCTCCCTGCATGTCCAAGGGCCTTTCCAGGCAGCCTTGTCCTAGCAAAAGGAAGTGATTTGCACTGTGGGTGCTTTAAAAACTGACCCCCCTGCCAGTCTGGAGCCGTGTATTAGCACCGGGGGAGCGGGGGTGGCAGGGAACATCAGTGGGTGCCAAATACACGTGAGCAAACGACCCGTGGAGGAGGAATTTCTCACCTGGTCTTCCAGTGGTACACAGCAGGATGAAGGAGGTTTCGCTGCCCCTCTGTCACATCCCAGCTCCAGGACTCGTCACCCACAACTCATGAGCTTTCCAGGCACGGTGTCTGTGGGTTTTCCACAGGGATTCAATTCCTGTTCTCAAACAGAAACAGCAGGAAGTTTTCATCTCCCCCTTGGTGCAAAACCCACCCCCCAACACGAACACCTCAAGCTGGGCTGTCTCCAGCTCAGCACGCAGGGACAGAGATACCCCTAAATTCCTGCTTCCTTTAAAATCCTTGGCTGCAGGCTGATCAGGGCATGATCCCCTGCACGCAGCCTCGACACATTCACCTTCCCCTTGACCCCCAGAGCAGCAGCTCAGCCATCAGCAGCTCCCTGCATGCAGCTGAGCACATGTGCTAACAGTCCACCTCTGGCCACTGTCTCCTCCAGGGCTGTCCCCATGCGTTGACCTTTCTGGTCCTCCTTGCCTTGCTTCACATCTCTGTCTGCCTTCCCTCCCTGGCCTGAGAGCCAGGGATTTTCCCTGGACCCGGAGCATCCCCTAGACCAGCCATCTATGCCCCAGGACCCCGCAAGACCAGCTCGCCTGCCCATGTTTCTTGGGGAAGGAGAATGGCTTCCTTTGTGGGAGCCTAGACCAGGACCAGGACTTGCTGAGGCACCCTGGCAGGGCTGGCACCCGGGCCGCAGGGCAGAGCCTGACTGCTGCCCCCGGCTGCTCTGGCTGCGGGTTGCACCTGATTCGGAGAAAACTCCAGGAACAAACTTGCCAACAAAGTTTTCAAGCTGACAAGCAGGTATTCCTCATTGTGGCGCCGGGAGACACGGGGGATAGCTCTTCCCAGCGTGTGTCTCCCCATTGCCACACAAGCCATCCTTTTATAGCCACTGGGCATACATACGTGTTCATGAGGCTACATATGGATGACATAATTTTCCAGAAAGTTCCCTGCATGCGTACAGAATTGTGGGGGTGGTCTCTGAGGGTTGTTTACTTCTTCCAACAATCTTCATCACTTCTGGCAGCCTCTGAAGCATGCGCAGTAGATGCTCATACCAGTTTAATTGGTTCGTTAGCACCAGAGACATAATAATCCTCCTATCCTCCTACTTATCGGTTAGTTGAACTGTAGCCCATTCTGAACACCTGCGGTTCCCAGATATTCCTTATCCTGTGTCCTGTTCTTCTAGACTGTTTCTCTTGAGCTATGTCACAACTATAATGACTCTCTTGTGAGAATTCTCAGTATGTTCTCTAGCTGTACTCTATTTATATTTTTCTCTATGTATCATGCACCTCAGTGATTTCCCATTGCTACTGTTACAAAGGCATCAAACCTAACACTACTTAAAACTAATTCTAAAGGCTTCTATATTCCATTTTGTGATTTTGTGCCCCCTTGTCTCAGACTCCAATGGAAAAGAGAGGAAGGAGGCTTTTTGCGAGACCTTTTCAATTGTTTTGCATCCAAAGCTAACAGCCTTGCCACCCCAAATTAACCTTTCTGATTCACTTGAAATCTTTCTCATTTTCCATGGAAAATGAAGGGAAAAATACCCAGCTGTAATGGCCAACGTGGTTTTACCCACATCCAGCCTGGAAGCGGTGTGGTTTCTGATGGGAAACATCTCTTAAAAACTACAGCAGAGCAGAAGAGCTGGGGTGAGAGGTGAGAGGGGCAGACACAAGGGTTTTGCACTGCAGTAGCCGGTGTGTGCCCAATCCCTGCTGCAATCCTACCTTTGGGAAGGTGTCACACAGCCACTGCAGCTGCAGGGGCGCTGGAGCCCAGCTTCCCTCTCCCAGCCTCCGGCATGCGTCTCCTGTAAAAGTAAGAGGAAAAGGAACAGTCACACAAGACTGAACACTGGCTGGATCTGCTCTCAGCAAGGCAATTCCTGCCTAACCTCGGGTGACGTCGTGCCTGCAATGCGTGGCTGCTGTCCTGCTCTGGATGAGCTGGATCTCCTTCATTAACAGCAATTGGCTCCAAATTCCTTCATGTGCTTATTATTACCTGGCTTTAATTGGCAATGAAACAGTGGCAGAATATTGCTAACACCTGAAGGGTGTCTAATGGGGAAGAGGACTGGAAAGAAAGTGCTCCTCTCCCTTCACTGAGGGATTTAAAGGCATCAGGCTCCTTTGCTGGTGAGGTGGGGACAGGCTTAGTACCTGCCAAGGGTGATTTTTGGCCGGTCCATGGGTGATGGATTGTCCTCCTCCTCACCACAAACCTCACTGACCAGCAGTGCTTGGCCCCCATGCTCATGGTCCAGCACCGCGGATCTGAAATAAAGCTCTGCTGCCTTTGATCGTAGTGTGAGTCACCACCAGCCCCCCTCGGCAAGCACTGAATTGGGGTGAGAAGCCTTTTACCTGCAAAGGCACTACACCGAGTACCTGCTCCTGACATTTTGGTCTTGCAGCTGCACAAGATGGGTACCTAAGGAAGACCCTGGGTGCCCCCTGGCCCCAGGGACCCCTGCAGCACCCTGGGGATGCCGTGAGCCTGAGCATCCCTGAGGACCAGGACCACAGGAGGGTCCTGCATCTCCTAGCGCTGGTGCAGGGGGCTGCTGTGAGCCCGCCCATGGCGGCACCGCCAGCCCTGCCTGCACACAGTGTTTATTTCATGTCTCACAGCGTTAAATCATAGCAGACATGCAATTCGGGGAGTGTGAGGCTCCCTAATGGGAGGCCTCGGGTGCGTGATGGGGCTGGGGCCAGCGGCAGCCGCGCTGCCAGGGCTCCTCCGTGATGCTTTATTGCTTTTGACGCTCCAAATGCGCTCCGAAAGGCGAGTCCTGGCAGCATGGAGGAGCCTGCTCCCCTCTCCTGAGATCTCCCTCCTGGTCCCGCCGCGGCACCCATCCTGCACAGAGCTCAGCCACACGCCTGCCCTGGTCCCTGCAGCCTCCAGCTTGGTTTCATTCCCAGGAAGGGCAGATTTGGGTGATGGGGAGTTTCTCGTCTTATTGTGGATGGGGGATTCTGAGCATCACTTATCCCTTCTCATGGCAGGGACCCTGTGCCTGGATCCTGTGCTGTCCCCAGCCTTTACCACCACTGGAGCAGGATGCAGGGCTGAGCCTCAGGAAGCCCCAGATGCCCGGCGCTTTGATTCCCAGAAAAGCAGTTACCACGCAGCAGATTACAGGGCTAATAAAATCCCATTACGCCATTTCAGAAAGTAAATCTGATCTGGGTGCTGCCGATTGGAATCAGCCATCCCACAGAAAGTCCCGCAAGAGCCCCTGCATAGGGCGAAGCTACAGTAGATCACACTAATGAGATATCTGATAATAGGAGGACTGAGAGGAACTACATTAAAATCTCTTTAAGATGAGGACTTAATACCCAGGGGAGAAAATCCAGAGTTAATGATGCTGCAGCAGAGGCTCCGCTTGCGCGGTCCTCGCCCCCTCGGCCGCATCCTGCCTGTTGTGGGTGCAGGAGGCCGGGGCACAGGGGGCAGAGCGGGGAAGGGTCCCCAGCGCCGTGGTGGCGCTGCCCGTGATTTTCATTACCCAGATTCAATAAGGGGAAAGAGCTCGGCGCTGCCTGCGCTCCCCGGGAGGTGACTTGCCAGCACTAACGGAGCCGAGAAATCAAATTAGCCCCGGCTCTGCTCTCGCTCTCTCCCTGACACCGCTGCTGGCAGCCGAGGGGGAGTTCATCAGCGCCCCACACTAATTCTTACCTCGTTTAAGTGACTCCACACTGGCATCTGATGCGATTTGCTCCACGCCACTGCCGCAGGCTCCACGCTCTGCCCACTGCTTCCCCAGCGCTTCCAGAGCTGGCAGCTTCGTGGGGGCACAGGCAGCTGTAACACACACAAATGCAGACACAACTACACAAATATATGGGACAAAGGGGGATCAGGAAGAAGCTCCTCTGGCAGGCAGAGGGATGCCACAGGGTGCAGTGGGAAGCCTGGTACCCTTGGAGCCCCCCATTCCCTTGGCTGATGGAAACCCTCCCCCAGTGACATGTTCCTGTAACCTCCCAGGACAGACGACCCCATCTCTGACATGCCAACTGTTGAGTGTCTCCTTGCACCGACAGCATCCCCTCCCCTGACTCCTGCTGCATGCAGACAGGATGCCTGCACCCCAAAACCCGCTTTCCTGCAGCCAGGCACCTGGGCAGGGGCTAGGGGAGCCCCAGGGGAGCTGGCGGGGTGGGCTCCTCTCACATCCTCCCAGCCTGAAACTTGATGCATCGGGAGAGGCTGATTGCAAGATTAATTGGGCGTTCTCAAAACCCCACGGTGGGAGGCAAGCGAGCACGGAGAGCGTGCTGCCTGCATCCTGCTCGGGCCACTGCTGCAGCGGAGGCTGGCGGCAGCGGCTGCAGCCAGCGCAGCACCAGAGCCATGACACCCACAGCTCTCGGCTTGCTTCTGGCCCTGCTGCCTCTCACCTCGACGCTGCAGAGCCAAGGTAAGGCAAAGGGGATGGAGAGCTGGGGAGAACGGGGTGCTCCTGGCACCAAGAGGCATGGTGCAACCCCTTTCCAAACCTGAGCAGTGCCGTACAGCACGCCAAGGATGCTTTTAGATACCTCAATGCTACCGAAAAGCAACGTACCCGGGAGAGCCCAAGAGTGGGAGAGCTCTGGTGCGAAAGCCTGGAGCTGCTGCATGCTGGAGTAGCACAGGGTGATATCGGAATGGGGCTTTGAGGTGCTCTGGGAGCATGCAAAGTCCCAGCTCTGAGGACAGAGTGAGAAACAGGGTGATGTCCTGCCTGCCTCCCTCTGCCTGAGCCCTCCACCCCATCCAGGGATTTCTCTAACATGATGTTTGATCCCTCTTAACACAGAGCTGGGTTTTGGGGATGACAGCCTGCAGAAGCGATGCTGTGCCTAGTTGGTAATCTCAGCTCTGCATGGTGCAAAACCAACTGCCTAAACACTCCCAAGTTATCGCTAGTATTTTCTTGTTTAACCTTCCTGGGAAAGAGTAGGAAAATCATTGAGGTGGTCTGGACCAAAGGAGCTGGAAGTCTCCAGTGATTTGTAGCTTGGGTCAGACAGCCCCTCTCATCTGGGCACCGCTCCCCTCTCCTGAACCTTCTCCCACAGCGCTGCAGAGGAGGAGCAGGGATGCTCTTGCCCTAGTGATGCTGGAGGGACGCAGACCTGCGGGGTGTCTGTGGAAGATGCACGGAGCAGCCCATTCCTCCCTCTGCAAAGCCATCTCCCTGCTGCCAGAGCACCCAGACCTGGAGCTTGCGGATGTAAGGAGGAGCGCAGGCACGGGCCAGCTCCACCAGCTGCAGCAGGAAAGGCCACAGCCGCAGTGACGGCAGCGCCTGTTTTCCTCCCCTCACCCTAACTGCTGCCTCTCATCCCCCTCTGCTCCATCCATCCACACACTCCTGCCTGGGCGAGGGTCGTGAGCCTGGCTGGCTCCCTGGCATTACCGATCATGTGCAGGCTAGAGGGGCTGAAGCTGCTGTGGGTTTGGGGATATTTAGCTTGAAATACAGATTACAGTTCCTTCCAGCAGCTTTTCCCAAGTTCCCGCAGATCTATTCCAATTAGTCCCTTTCATTAAGTGGGAATTGGACACCGGGGCTGGCCGTGCTGCAGAGCAAAGCCACAAGCATGGCTTCGCTGCCCTGGCTCGGCCACGGCGTCACCGGCTGCCCTGCAGTGAGGACGCGGGCACCACGAGCAATTTGCTCCACAATTAACACTGCCAGCACGGGCTGAGGGATTGTTTCCACAGGAATCAAACGCCAAGGCACTAATAAATGAATTTAGCATCCTGGTTCATCTCTAACCACCACCCGCCGAGCAAAGAAGGATGCCCTGGAAGGAGTGAGTGGTAGGAAACATACCCGGGGGCAGCAAGTCCCGCGTGGTCCCCACTGCCACTGTCCTGGTGTCTGTCCAGGGTGGTGGAAGACGGCAGCTCTGCTCTCCAAGGCTGGGGGAAGGTCATAGCGCTGATCGCCTGCACAGCAGAAGAGACTTGTAGAAGGTGCTGGGTCTGGCAGGCACATTTCCCATCAGGAGATTCCTATTGAACTTTGATGGGAAAAGCCCAGCTGGTCAGGGAGGAATTGGGATGGCAGCCAGCAGCATCCCATGGTCACAGCACAGGCCAGGATGACTGCAGACACCGCCCCAGTGTGAGCAGCCTTCCTCCCTTCATCCCTCCTTCCTCCCTCTGCTGGCAGGTACGCGGCGGCAGGGCTGGACGCCAGAGCCCACGGAGCCTGCCCTGCGCCGGCTGTCCCACTACCTGCTGACCCACTACCAGAAGGGCACCCGGCCCGTGCGGGACTGGCGAACAACCACCAACGTGGCCATCGACCTCATGGTCTACGCCATCCTCAGCGTGGTGAGTCCTCTGCTCCCATCCCAGCTTCTGGGCTGCCTGGAGGTGGGCAGCTTCTGTGTGTCCACAGCAAGGGAAGGTACCACAGCATGCAGCATCCTCCTGGGACACTCTGCTCATCTGCTGGAGTGACAATAACACCTGTGCCAACACCATGTCCTCTGCTTCCTGCAGGATGAGAAGAACCAGGTGCTGACCACCTACATCTGGTACAGGCAGGTGAGCAGATGAGACTGTGAAAACTCACCCTTCCTTGCCTGGCACCCCTGCAAACACAGGTTTCCCACGGGAGAGGTGTGCAGGCCTGCTGGAGTGCAGCAAGGTGGGAGCCATCCAGGGATGGCAAGATCTCTGCAGGGCATGAACCTCGAGGCACGGCTTTCATGCTCCATGCTTCACACTGCTGGGTGGTAATAGCTGGACGATGAGGTTTTTCTCCCTCCCAGATGGCATTGAAGATTGGTTCCTATGGCCGGGCACCAGCTGGGAGGGTTTGGGTGCCAGTGGGGTGGCAGAGCCCTCACCCTCCGAGCCCCTTCTCCCTTGTCACAGCACTGGACGGACGAGTTCCTCAGGTGGGACCCGGCGCGCTTCGACAACCTGACGCAGATCTCCCTCCCTGTGGAGAGCATCTGGGTGCCCGATATCCTCATCAACGAATTGTGAGTGTGGCCAGAGGGGACACGGTATGGGCCTGGGCCCCCTTGCCCACTGTGGGCACGTGCCGCCGGGCACTTTGTATTCACGGCACAGAGCTGGCAGCCTCCCCGCACCGGGCGAGCTGCAGATGGGGAACAGCACTTGGGCCATTTCCAATGCTGGCTCACCGCAACTGCTGGTAATTACCCGCCGTGCCGGGGGTGGGATCCAGATAGCTGCAGAAAGGCTTTGTGAAGGCAGCACAATGCGAGGGCAGCTGCAGAGCTGCCGGCCCTTCCCTCGAAGCCAGCCGGCATCCTGCCCATTCCGTGGGGATTTAAGGTGTTCCCAACCAACTCCAGAGTGTCGGGACAAGGACACAGACACTCCTTGAGCTGGGAGAGGGCAGCAGCCCAGGCAGCCCAGAGGTGATGTCATGCAGGCATGCCTTCACCAGTGTTGCCCAGAAAGCATTCCCGGGGACAAACCCCCTCCTCCTGGGCAGCTCCCCTCCCAAACGCAGCTCGGCAGCAGGAATCCCTGCCCAGTGCTCCCCAGCCCATGTTTGTCCCTTATGCCCTGCAGTGTGGACGTCGGAAAGTCCCCCCATGTCCCCTACGTCTACGTTGACCACCACGGGGAGGTGCAGAACCTCAAACCCATCCAGGTGATGACCGCCTGCAGCCTGGACATCTACAACTTCCCTTTCGACGTCCAGAACTGCTCGCTCACCTTCACCAGCTGGCTGCACCACAGTGAGTGCCGGGACGCCGGGGCTCGGGGTGGGCCGGACCTCGCTCCCCTCCGCTGGGCTGCAGAAGGCGGCTCGTCCCTCTAGATGGCCCCAGCGGACCAGGGATGCTTGCGGGGAGGGCAGGCGCCCAGCGTGGAAGAGCTTGGGGCCGGGCACCCTGGTCCTCACCTCTCCTCCGCCCCTCAGTTCGCGACATCAACCTCTCGCTGTGGCGGCAGGCGGAGCTGGTCAAGTTCGACCGGAGCGTCTTCATGAACCAGGGCGAGTGGGAGCTGCTCTACGTCCTCACCCAATTCCAGGAGTTCAGCGTCAAGAGCAGCGACAGCTATGCTGAGATGAAGTTCTACGTAAGGGTCTTTGGTTGTCACGGTTCCTGGGGATGGGGTGCTAGGGAAGGGTCTTGCCACTGTTCTTGTTGCCTGATCACCCAGCAGCCCTGTGCTGAGGTGCTCCTACCTGCAGGCAGGAGGTTCCCAGCGCTGAGCCCTTCCTACGGCTCACTTTAGTGCACCCCATGACCCTTGCCTGCCTTGGCAGAGAGCTGCACCACCTCATGCCCTTGATTCCACCCTTTGCTAAGCCTTTCCTGTCCCTGTGTCCTGCAGGTAGTCATCCGGAGGCGCCCCCTCTTTTACACCGTCAGCCTGCTGCTCCCCAGCATCTTCCTGATGGTTATGGACATTGTGGGCTTCTACCTACCTCCCAACAGTGGAGAGAGGGTCTCTTTCAAGATCACCCTCCTGCTGGGCTACTCAGTTTTCCTCATCATCGTTTCTGACACATTGCCGGCTACTGCTGTCGGCACCCCATTAATAGGTATGGTGGCACTACCTGCCAAAGCGAGTGCCACAGCAGCCCTGGGCTTGGAGCAGCAGGAGCTGCTGCCCGGTACAGAGACCCCAGGTCCCCTAGAAAAGTGGGAGAGATTGCTGGGTATCACCCTCTGTGTACAAGCTTTTGCAGGCCACTCACCTCACTGACATCTCTGCAGGCATCTATTTTGTGGTGTGCATGGCGCTGCTCGTCATCAGCCTGACGGAGACCATCCTTATTGTGCGCCTGGTGCACAAGCAAGACCTGCAGCCCCACGTCCCTGCGTGGGTGAAGCACCTGCTGCTGGAACGAGCCACTGTCCTGCTCTGCATCCGGGACAGGAAGAATTTCAGCCAGACTGGGACACAGAGCTCAGACATCTCCAGGCAGGTGGAGAACAATGACAGCACAGGTAAGGGATGCGCAGATAGGGACCATGGGATCCTAAGGGGACTGGATCCTACTTACCCATCTACGAAGTCCCTGTTTACACGGTGATCTGGATGCCCAGATCACCCACAGGAATCCCAGTTCTCCGTCTAAAGAGTTTTTTTTCCCTTGCCTCTGTTGATCCTGCAGCCAAGCTGAACCACTACGGCTGTGAGGACCCCCGGGAGTGTGAGGCGGTGGGGGCCATGAGGCCCACCCCGGCCTTTGCCAGCCAGGCAGATGGCTCCCTGCTGATGCACGGTGTCCTGCGCGAGATCACCGCCATCCGCCAGTTCCTGGAGAAACGCGAGGAGTTCCGCGACGTTGCCCGTGAGTGGCTGCAAGTGGGCTACGTGTTGGATGTCCTGCTCTTCCGGGCCTACTTGGTGGCCGTCCTGGCTTACACCATCACACTGGGTACCCTCTGGTCGGTGTGGAGGGATGCCTAAGAGGTGCCTGCCTTTCGGGGCAGGGAAGGTGGGGACCCCGCAAGCTGCCCTGCTCCAGCACCTGCTCCGCAGCTCTGGGACTCGTTGGCGTTTGCTGACACAGGCTGGTGCATCCACCGCCTTCCCCCAGCTCCGGAGCAGCAGCGCTTGAGCAGGAAGGCAGAGCTGAGGAGAGCCCCCAGGCACCCATGACCTCTGCACAAGCCTTGCAAAATGCCTCCCCCTCCTCTCGCCCCAACCCGGCGCGACTGCAGCCACCGCTTCAGCACCGTGGACAGCGGCCCCGCCGCCCCGGGTCTGGGCTGCGCCTGCTCGGGGGTCCCGTCCCTCGCCCCGGAGGCTCCCTGCCCCTCGCCCCAGCTGTCCCGGGGAGCCCCCCACCTCTGTGCCCGGAGCACCGGGAGCCCCATGCATGTGCTCCCTTCCTTCCGCCTGCTCGTGGGGCTCCCGGCAGGTCTTTGTTCCTGATACGTAGCCCCTGGGCACAGTCGCCCGGCAGATGCCCATCGTGCTCTTGCCCTGCATACAGTAAGCTGGCAGAGCAGCAGTGCCAGCCAACAGCAAATTAACCGGGGTGCAAGCAGGACTGGCTCTCTGGACACGTGGTGCTGGAAGAGACCTGAAAGGCCACCGACTGCTATTGATAGTGCCCCCCTCCCCAGCTCCCACTCTCCATCCCTGCCAGGGGATGTGGCTAAGAGGAGATAAAAGAACTGCTGGCTGCATCCCAGAGCAGGGAGTTGAGCCGAAACTACAAGGAGCAGAGCTGCTCAATGCAGTTACCATTCCCAGAGATGGGAGTGTTGTGGCAAGAAACACTGATGGTGTGGTCCCCAGCCCCAAGTGCTTGCCCGAGAGACTGTAAAAGTACAGCTCGTTCCTCACGCCGGTAACATACCTGAGCATGGGCACCATCCTCAGAAGTTCTGGAGATAAGGGGAGAGCCCATCCTGGGCTCTGGGAGCACCACTGCATACAACTGGTCTGGTGGTGGTGGAGTGGAGGTGGACTGACAGTGGCTGGCTCCCCTACATCCACCCTGAATCGCACTGGCCCCAGACCAAGGGCCCCGTGCAGTGTCCTGGAGCTGTCACCTGCAGGAAAACTTCCCACTGAGTGACGGGGGGCTGAGGACGGGTGCAGCAGGCTCCTGCCAGCGCCGGCCTGCACTAATGTGCTGATGGTCTGTAAGTGGCTGCCTATTGATGAGGTGTCCAGTTAAAGAGTTCACGAGACACTAAATCAGCCCATTGATCCTGCCGAGATCGATGGTGCTACAGACCTGATCACTGCAGTGGGCAATTAACACCCTCTGGAATGAGCCGCCTTCATGTTACATCAAACGCTCCAACAGACAAATCCAATGGGCCCATTGACCCAGGCAGGTGATGCCACCCAGCCCTCATGTTCTGGGGGGAAGCGGGGTGACAGGACCCCCAAGCCAGCCTCACTAGCCTGCTCCTGCCCATGGGGACCCCCCGTGAGATGCCCACCTCTGCCGTCGCATCCCACGGACCACGTTGGTGAGGGCTTGGTCCACATCCTCCTCTGCACTAGGAATCCATCCTGCATCCAACCTAACCCCGTTGTGCAGCTCCATGGTCCTACCCCCTGTAAGAGCAGCTTACCCATGCTGGAGGAAAGATCCAGGTTCTCCCTTTACCCTCTTGCTGCTTTGGGAAGTGCTGCATGCGGGAAAAAGTTCTAGGCATCTCTCTGAGTGGAGCCTGGATTTTCCTCTTTAAAAAAAAAAATAAATCAATAAATCTGAATCTAATCTCCTAATAAAGGTTTAATGAGGACATAATGTTGATGGAACAGAACATTGTTGCAGCATAATCGCTCCCAGCTGCTGCGCGAGTGTGCAGACAAAGGCCCGGTCCTGCGACGATTTCCCCGTTATTATACCACTGCCTCCATGCCAGGCTGAGCGCCGGAGCCAGGCTCCAGTCCCTTCTCCTAGGGTGCTGCTGTGGCACCACCTCTGCTTGCCTGAACCTGGCCCAACGGTCTCTCCCCTTTGCCCAAAGCCTCACCTCAAGAGCATTGCTGGGGGAGCTCTTGGGAGGCAGGGACCAGCACCAGGAGCCAGGGTGAGCACATAGACCTCAAACCTGCTGGGAAGCCCTAGGGCGTGGGATGAGCTTGGGCCCAACACCAGCCTGGCACACCTCATCCATCCCTGGGAAAAATGAAGTGATGCTTTGCCTGCAGTGACACCAGCTGTGCCGTAATGAATGTTTAACTGCATCGTCATGCACAGGCAGGTGGTGGTGGGCAGCACCCGTGGGGTGCAGGCAGCACCCATCAGGCTTAGGCATGGGCGAGTGACACCAGCAGCACCCACCTGGCCCCACCACGGCGATCCATGCTGTGCCGTACAGTTTGCTGCAGCACAAAAGGAGAGCAGGCGCTGCTGTTAATGTAGTCAGTAAATAAATAAAGGAGGGCTTAAGCTTAGTGTACAGCAATCAGTCGAGAACTACAGGATAATTAACGCAGCAGGGGGCCAGACTACTCTGCAGTCAGGTTTAAATGAACGAGTTCACTTTCATTGAGGCAAACTTGCTCAGCTCCCTGGTGAGCTGCGCAGGCAGGCAGGCAGCAGCGTGGGCAGCGCTGCGGGATGGGAAGCTGCACATCCCAGGACATGGGTGCAGGACTGCTCCCCATTCGCAGGGAGGTCAGCATCCCCTGCCCATCGGGGTTGGTCTAGGGATGGGACCCCCCTGCACAGCCCCAGCACCCCCAAACTCACCACTGTGGTCCCCCTGCAGCTCGCCCCACGCTGATGGGATGCTTCCTTCCTCTTCCTCCTCGAGCAGGCACAGGAACAGGAGACATCAGGCCGAGACAACGGAATTAACTTTATTGGTTGTTTTTTGTTTTCTAACTGCAGATTCAAGGTATACAACTGAACATTGCTATTTTCCTTATGAGACTTATAAATAAAAATACAAAAAATGTTCACTACAAAAAAATCTACCGTTAGTAGGATGTAAAAAATATTCTCTTTGCTATAGAAGGCACGAACTTCACTTAGTGACACATGGAGAGAAAAAAACCTGCAGCAGTATATTATTCTTCTTCTTCCTTTTTTTTTTTTTTTTTTGTCTTTTTTATTCCTCTGTCAGAAACACTGAAGTCTTACAAAGAAATGCATCTGAATCTACACAGGACGAAGGCAGATGCGGAGAGCTGCAACTAGGAGACACCACAACGGTTTTTATTCATTTTATATTTTTTTTTGTTCTTTTTTTCTTTTTCTTTATTTTTTCAGGAAACTTTTAGCTAACGGCATCTGTGGCTAGAGGACAGAGAGGACTCGCAAGCAGAACCGCACGGGAGCGAACGGCACGGGGAGGGGGCCCAAGTCGTACAAAAAATAGGAGCCAATAGATAGATACTCTGAGAAAACCCACGGGGAACTGGGGCACCTTCTGCGCCCGGGCTCAGAGAGGTGCTGAGGTAGACGGAACGAGGACAGCGACAGACCCGGACCACGAGCGAGCGGCAACACAGAGCAACGGGACGGGCGGGCGCTCACGACACCGACAACAAGCCAGGGGAGAGGGAGCCCGGGGCTGCGGGGCCCTGCAGGGCGCTTGGTCCTCACTGCTATGATACACATATATAGACTTCTATATATATATATACGGGGGCGGTGGCACCGCTCCGACGCCGAGCCCAACACCATTGCAGCTGGGAGGCTGCGGCACGAGGGCACAGAGGGCGGGATGGAGGAAGGGAGCGGGGCAGCAGGATGGGAGGGGAGGTTAAAGCAAAAAAGCCACATGAGCTCGGCCACGTGCTCTGCGGCACCGTGGCACCCGCGGCACCGCAGGGAGCAACCGCGCACGCGCCAGGGATTGCAGCAACTTCCCGTGTCAAAGAACTGGGGGGTCTGTCTATAGTTTTCTATATTTTTTCTTTTTTTTTTTTTTTCATTTTTTTCTTAGGCACAACAATTCAACAAGCCGTTCTCCACAGTCACATCCCGGATTGTACAACAGCGGCGTCCACCCCACGCCAAGCAGCAAAGGACCCGCACACGGAGGCACACACGCGTGCAAGGCTGGGCTGGGGTGCGAGGGAGGGTGCTGCTCCCGCAGCCGCATCCCTGCTCAGCATCAGGAGAGGCGGGACTGGCACCCGAAGCCGAGAGGGGCCATTGGCACCCCTCTGGAGCGCATCTGTGTGCCGTCCCACTCGCCCTGACTCTCCCTCCCACCTTTTCACCCAAACGCAGCAAAATGACAAAAAAACCCAAACCCAAAGTCACGGCCACCAGCGCCCCACGGGACGGAGCCCGCGGAGCCCGTGACCGCCAAGGAGCAACACAACAAAAACCAACACAAGAGGTAGCTTCAGAACCGACGCCCCCAGCCCCATGGGGCTGGGCAAAAAATACCAGTTTTGGTAAGGATAATGCACAACGGGAGGCACGCGCCTTCCCGGCCACGCCTTCCCCCGTCCCCCCAAATCAATAAAAGCTCATGAGGTCACAAAAAAACGAGGTAATTTCAAGTAAAATGTGCTAAATGCAGAAACATTCCAAAAAGAAAGGTCAACGAAACCCAACAAAAAGCAAAAGCAGCGGCGAGCAAAGCCGCCGGGCGCCCCTCGCCTGCGGCTCCTGCAGCTGAGCCAGGGCAAAACCCCACACTCGGCACCCCCCAGCGCCCCAGTGAGCAGGAGAAAGAGGATCCTCCTGTTGGGTGCGGTGCTGTGGACCAGCAGCACCCACGGTGCCACCGACTGCGCATCACCAAACCAGCTGCATTCCCCCACAGGCGCTTTGCCCTCACCCCTCGAGAAGGGGAAATGCATAGAGAGGTCTTTGGTCAGGGGAGGGTGGCAACGGGCTCCCTGTCCCAGACACCCTCCCACGGCCGGGATCCCCGGGATGCTCTCACCAGTGCACTCACGGCTCGCCTGATGCTGACACTCTCCCACCTGCGATGCTGCAGCCTGGCAGCATGGGAGCCATCCCAAAATGGAGTCCGAGACCCACACGTGAGCTTGGGTCCTCTGCGGGGCATTCACAGTGGGGTCTATGTGGTGACAGTGGACACCAGAAATTGAAGCCTTCCCAAAGCACCGGCCATACGCATGCTTCCACACGGTCTTCCTGGCAGCACCAATGGCTGGCAACAGTGGTGATGGAGGGGCTGGCTGGGCAGCAAGTTCCCAGGGGGCTGCGAGGGGCGAGGGCCACCCCATAGCGAGGGGGCAGGGGCAGCAGGCGCACGAGCAGCTGGGGAGGGGGCGCGGATGGGGCCGGGAAGGGGCCGGTGCGTCCCTGTGCCCCGGCACGAGCCGCGGGATCCTCCTGGAGAGAAGCAATGAACGAGAACCGAAAACAAAACAAGGCCGTGGACGCTGCGGGTTTGGTGTTGGTTTTTTCTGCCCAGTCCTCTGCCACTCGGCCCCGCTGCCTCCTCCCTCAGACGTAGCAGAGGTAGAGATAGGTCTTCTCTATCCGCCAGTCGGTGGGGATCTCCTCCGGCTTGTGGCCCTTCATGTGCTTCTGCATGGCGGAGAGGCTGGGGCAGTATTCCAGGCAAATGGTGCACTGGTAGGGGGAAGCGCCGTTGTGGGTCCGAAGGTGTTTGATCATGGCCGAGTAGTCCCGGGAGCGCTGGTGGCACAGCTTGCACTCGAAGGGCTTCTCGCCTGTGGGAGATGGGGCGTCAGCAGGGGCCCACGGCCTCCGGGCTGTAATTAACTGCCCGGTTTCGACAGCAGATAGCCGGGTAATGAACAGCAAAACCGATCTGACTATTGATCCTCTATTTACAACAGCTACGCGCCGCACATCCGATGAGTTGTTACCCCCGCCCACCGCCGCCCTGGTCCATGCTGCCGGCATCTCTGCCAGGGGACCGGTCCGGCACCAGGGGCCAGCCCAGCACTGCCAGCCTCACCGCAGAGCCCCCGTGGCTCGTACCTGTGTGGACCCGGTAGTGGGTCTCCAGCTGGTGCTTGAGGCTGAACTTCTTGCCGCAGCCGTTGCACTCGTAGGGCTTCTCGCCGGTGTGGATGCGCTTGTGGCCCTTCAGCGTGCTCTCGTCCCGGAAGCAGCTGCCGCAGAACTCACACTCGTAGGGGTGGTCGCCTGCAAGCACGGGGAGGGGGTCAGAGCCCCAGCCAGCTCGCCAGCATGAAGATACCCTGGCACCCACCGCCACCACCCCGGGGGTGTCCCAGCCACCCCAGCACGGCACCTCGGCCCCTGCATCCTCATGCTGGGGTCCACAGCAGGGGCAGGTGAACAGGGGGCACTGCGACCACCCCACCGCCAATTCCCAGCCTTTCCACCTGGCACAGACCCGGGCCTGGGTGTCTCCTCTGCTCCAGACTGGGTGGCTGATAAATGAACTCTGGTTCGGCACCGAAGGCAGAATGATTTGAAGGAAAGGTGAGGGCTCCAGCTACTTATTTATTACAGCCGCGAAGGCAAGGACAATAAAGATAGATTGATCGTCCGAGACTTTGTTCATGAATATTTAAATATTACTGATTTGTCTTGTCACTGTAATTACAATTTCTCTGTGCCGCATACCCTACAAGCACAGTTTATGGTAAAGAATGGCGAACTGTATTTCACTTGTCCTGCTGCAGATGTGCGGAGCTGCCAAGCGTGTAATGTTCCCCGCATTTCATACATTTTCTTCAGCTGTGAAGGCTTAAGTCATCCACAATGACCTACGTTTTTTCATTATCCCCGTGTCAAACTGCACTCGTGCCTGGGCATAAATTGTCCTTCTCGTTATATACTCACATGCCTGCGCTTTCGCTTCCTCTTTAAAATGATATTTTACTCTCTCCCCATGTGCCGCAGCAAAGTCCTGCAGCCCTGGCTGGGCACTGCAGGAGGAGGAGGAGGATGCTAGGGGTGCCTTTTGGACCCCCCTCCAAAGGCGAGGCAGGCGGTGCCTGTTGGCTGCTGTATTTCACCTCCCTGTGCCCAGTGCCAAATGATCACCTTGGGTTTTGATCCTATACTCAAAGATGTCGCAGCCTGAGGCAGGCAGCACATCCATGTGCTCCATTTTTAGGAGACTCCATGTAAATGGGAGCCAGACAGTGCTCCAGCCCCAGGAGGAGCACGAGCATCCTGCATCTGGGTGGGATGAAGCCACTCAGCATACTTAAACACCCCCGAAGCACTGAAGATCCTGGTGCTTTTTCACAGCCAGGAGCTTCTGAAGCAGCAGAGGTTGCGGTGGGACACGCATGGCCTGACCCGCAGCCCAGGTCACCGGATTACCGGCTATAAATAGCTCCACCACTCGGCATTAACGTGCTTATCATCGGCACATGATTCCCATTCCCCACGCCAGGACCCCAAGCCCAAGCCCACGTGTGGGTCTGGCAGCTGCTGGCCACAGCCCAGATGCAGCGACCCTCCTGTGATGTTGCCTGCACATCCCCAGCAGCCACTTCCATGTCCCCTTTTGAGGCTGTATGGGCATGCTGTTAACAGGAGAAAAAAGAGGAGGCATCCTGACCTGGCACCCATTCTGCACCCTGCCAGCAACAACAGCGCAGATGAGGAGGGTGCACGAGCCTCCAACTGACATTGGATGGGTGAGGAATGCTACTGAAAGCTGTGGTGCTGGCTGCAGTGCACAGCAGAGCTGCACAGCACTGGGCAGTGCCCCAGAGCACCAGCTCCACGTTGTGCAGGTCACCCTAATCCCATTAGGGCCGAGCCCCGGCTGATTATGTGCATCTACCACTCATAAGCCGATGAGCGGGTGTGATCGTGCAGCCCCTAAGAAGGTCACATGCCGCCTCATACCTGATCTACTTCTCACATGCTGCTTGTTTTCCACTTCTAACTCCAAACAGCCTCAACCGCTGTTCCCTCACACGCTGAGGACAGCTGCACCTTTCTTTCCCTTTTTTCCCCGCACGCCTGGGGCAGAGCTGCCCAGTGCCGTACCTGTGTGCGACCGGAGATGCCTCTTGAGCGCGGTGTGGCTGGGGAAGGTGCGGTTGCACTCGCTGCAGATGTAGCTGCGCACCCCGGCGTGCACCTCCATGTGCTGCTGCAGGGCGCTCTGCGTCTGGAACCGCTTGCCACACAGCAGGCAGAAAACAGCCATGTCTGTACCTGCGGGAGAGGCAGAGAGCCGGCTTAGGCACTGCTGGCACCACTGCCCCACCTCGGGACCCTGCACGCACCGGCAACAGGGATGCTCTGGCAGCAGCGGGGACCCCAAGAGCTGTGGGGCTCCGGCTGTGTCTTTGAGGGCTGTGGCCACACCAACCTGGCTGCTGCTGGCCCTAGAAAGGAAGCACCAGTGGAAGGGAAGGGGCTTTTATTGCCTTGGAGGAAGCTAGAAGCCCCAGCCCTGAGATGCCCCAATGCACGGCAGCTGTTGGTCAATCACCACCTCCCCATGCACCTGTGAGAGCTGCAGAGCTCAGACCTTGTAACACCCAGGGGAAAAGGGAACCCAAGAATCACCCTAAAAACCAGTCAGAGAGCAGGGGCTGGATGCATCGCCTGCAATCCTGAGCCCCAGTACAAACACGAGCTCCATCTGACCAGCCATGGGTATAAAAGAGGCTGCAACAAAACAACAGCAAAAGCAGGGAAAACCACCTCAGCCCAGATCCTTATACACCACCTATAAAAATATCAGACCCTTGTGTTATTAAACTATTTGTTTTCGTTTATGCATAGCTGATTGTTCAGAACCCGTGTGTCAGTGCAAACTGTATTACGCAGGGAGATTAAGCAAATAAACGCGAGCTTTTTGGAGACATTAAAATGTGAGGACTATGGAAATAAAATTATCTAGAAAATTGTATTAGCAATTCATTAGCAGCAGCAAGATGTTCACGGTAACCAACGGATCTGCAATGCCTTTAGGAACAGCAGGGCGGGGGAGCTGCTTGCCACACTGCTAATACTAGCCCTGGGGACCCCACTGGTGCCACCGCACCTGAAGCAGTGGGCACCTGCCGCAGCGGTGCCAGTGCCGCAGTCCTCCCTGGCATGCAGGCAGGTGCTGGCTAAGGATGCGCTGGCAGCATCCTCCTGGCCAGCTCCACTCCTCTGGCATGGGACCAGCCAGCAAGGAGACATGTCCATGTGTGCTGGCATCGTGCTGTCACCCGCCATGGGGCGGTGGCACACTGTGGCTCCAGAGATGCAGGAGCTGCGGAGGGATGCTCAGCCCCAGCCCTGTTGAGGCTGCCCAGAAACGCCTCAAAATCTGCAAAACCGCCAGTGAAACAAGAATAAAAGCAGCAAGAGGCAGCCCCGCACGGGAGCTGCCTTTCTGCCTCCGCAGGGATTTATTCCAGGGGGGAGCGGGCTCCGTGCCCCCCACGCAGCTGCGGACAAAACGCTCCTGAGACAAAAAACATATCAAAACAATAAAGAAGGAGGCGGCAGCGGTTAGCGGGCCGTGCGGAGCAAATCCCAAGAGGTATGCGGCCCCGCAGCCCTCGGCGGCCCCGGCGGTGACAGCAGGACGGGTCAAAGGTCCCCGGGGCTGAGCCCTAGCGCTGTGGCCAGCTGCGGAGCGGAGGCCCCGGCCGGCGGGACGCCGGCCCCGATAAATCTGCTGGCAGCAGCCCCCGCTGGGGCCGGGGACAATGGGCTCCCGTGGGGGCGGAGGGCAGGACAATGCCGCCGGCCGGCGCGCGGGGCCGTAACAAATCCTCCCTGGCACCGTAGGGCCCTCATTTGTGAAACTAATTGGCCCCCGCTTGAAAGAAGAACGTTCCGACTCCGGCAGCCACGGCGATGGGGATGAGCTGCCTCGTGCACGCATGGGAGATGCACCCACCGGTCCATGGGGACGGTGCTGGTGTCCCCGGGGCTGGGTGTCCCCCAGCGGTGCTGCTCACCACAACCTGCAAAAGGCACTTCGGAATTGTATGTGTTTGGTTTTTAGGTGATGCATTAGTAAATAAAGCAACACCCTGAATGGGGAGGTCCACTTCCACCAGCACAGCTCACAGGGCACCCAGCGCCAACCACCCTCCAAGAGCAGAGCTTCCACAGGGTGTGAAGGCTGGTGCCAGCCCAGTATGGAGGATGGCTGCGCATCCGTGTCCCTGTTCCTTTGGAGAGCGGATGGGAGGTGGGAAAAGATGGGAAAGCTCACGCGAGGGTGTGCTTGCCACAAGGAAAGCCGCAGCGGGCAACATGGGGACTCGCCCGGCGTCCGAGCCGCAGCGCATCCCTCTGCTCCCACCCCAAGTGCATCCCGAGCCAGCCTCAGCCATTGGAAGAAAAATCACCCCCGATAAAGGAACGCCGCTGCCCCAAACCAGTGAGAGACGGATTTATTCATTTCCCTGACGTTTTAATGGTTTCTCCCCTTTTTGCGGGAAGATGATTACAAATTAAGCGGCATTTAAACGCTTTTTACTGTCAACAATTAAAAGGGGTGAAGGCGGGCGAGCAATTCATTCCCTGGGAAACGCGCCGGCTCCCGGCGGGCGCTGCTGGCCCTTCCCTCTACTGTACAGCGCACAATGGCCCCGAGCGCGCCATTAATTTTGCAGGACGTTCAAAAGCAAATTAAAATACAAAAAGCCCCCGGGCACAAGGATAGGCACCGAGGGGGGGGCGGCGCAGGTCGAGCTCACAAACCGGTCTTAGCAACCGGGGAGGTGCAGCGCGGCCCTGGCACGCTGCGCTCAGCAGCCACCTTCGCCCATCTCCCCCGGTGCCGTGTACCTCTGGCAGACCTGGCGCCAGTCACCACCAGCCATGACCTATTAACGGGGCGGCTCTTGGCGCTGCCGCCAGCTTTGGAGGCGGAAGCCAGAGCAGGTTGGGTTTGGATGCCAGTTGGGCATCTCATGGCAGTTTTAAATAGCAGGTGGTCTGAAATGTGTTTTTTAGGGGATGGATGAGCGCTGGAGGGAGGAAGGACCCTACAGCTGCAAGGATGGAGTTGCGTATCCCCGTCCTCCAGCGGCTTCATCCCAAAGGAGCACAACTGTGAGATGTAAAGATGAGCAAGACGCAAGGCGTGACAGCCAGAAGCGCTTCCGCCCCTGTCCAAGACATAGCGGGGATGCTGCTGTCACCGAGGCATCGAGGCCGCTGCCTCCACGGGAGGAGGGATTAGAGCAAACCCCCGTGTGGGGACAGGTTAGGGTGGGCTCCCTCCCGCGCCGGCGAGGAGCCCAGTTTAGGATGCGGGAGGTGCGCCGGCGGGAGAAAGGCGACACGTCCCCTTTAAAAGGAAATATAATTTACAGTGTGCAGCCAGGCGGCCCATAGTTTCAATCTCGTTTACTATAGAGAAAACTCTGCTAGCTGTTCTCTATCCCACAAATCCGATTTAATCAGACAAGCCAGCCAGCGTGGCTTGAAGTAAAAACGGATAATTAGTAAACAGAGAGCTACTTCAGTGCTTCATTGGCATTCGAGCCGGGCTAGTGTGTCGCATTTAAAATGCAGTCTGATGAAGTTTACAAAATCAAACCATTTGTTACTCCTATTGAAGAGGCTTCAGGCCACTTGCAATTAAATTGGAATTAGTGCTCAGAATGAGATACAGCAAATTCATACTAAAAAGGGATCTGACTTTCAGACATTTGACTTCAAGTTCTTCCCCCTGTGCGTGTGCACACACGCGTGCGCCATCCTCCCAGCTCCCTGCCAGTCCCCAGACCCCTGGCAATGCTCTGGTGGCAAGGAAGGGACCAAGGGGACCGGTGCCACTGAAGCACCCTCTGCTGAGCCCAGCACGGTTCTGGCGGTCTCCAGGCACGGTTGGGATGTGCAAAGCCAAGTGCTCCTCCCCGAATCCTCCTCTCAATGCTGCCATCTTTTCCCTGTCGTCCCTCAGAGCATGCTATGAGACTCAAAAATGAGGCAGATGTGTCCATCCACCACAGCAATAATCAATAGGATTAGAAACCTGGAATCAAAGGCTGCGGAGGTGCACATCAGGAGGGCTCCATGGTACGGCAGGCACAAGGGTGCAGGCATCGAGGGATGCCGACAGAGCCCATGACTGCCCCTTTCACCCACCATAAAACACCCAAACCCTCATGTCATGTCCTGCAAATTCGGGTCTCTGACAAGACTTGCTCCTCCTTCCACCTTCATAGTTAATGTAACCTCTTACATGATGCTCACGCCACAGAAGTGCACCAAAATATCCGCTGGGGCTGAGGCTGAGAGCTCCAAAGCATCCTGGCCACACAGAGCAGGACCCAAGGGCTGTTTGCTCCCTGAGATGAGATTTCAGGGATGTTTGATGTGTTTTTGTCAGCGTGTCAAGGGCTCCCTACCAGCCTCCACCTCCCGGACGATGCTGCTGGCTGCAGCTGCAGGGGAGGCTGCAGGCTGCTGCTGTGCATGGAAAGCAGCATTAGGGCAGGAAGAAAATATCCGTGACTGCAGCTGGAGAGCTGCAGGTAACCCCCTTCCCAGCCTGCCTGCAGGAAAGCTCGGCATGGAGGGCTCTCTGGAGCTGCTGAGCATGTCCCACTGGCACCACGACGAGGAGGAAGATGGGTGATGAAGGACAGGTAGAAGCAGTGATCACCAGCATCCCAGGAGGCTGGTCCATGGCATCAGCACTGAGTTTTGCCCTGGGAAGGCAGGGGATGCACGCTGCTTGGAGTAAGAAGATTAACCCAGTTTCAGTGTCTGTTTTCAGGATTATTATGAAACCAAAAGAAGCATTTTTTGGTGACATCACATGGGCAAACCCACAGGGCAGTGCAAAGGAGCCCTTCCTGGGATGCTGCTGTAGGATAAGCAGTGCCTGCACACACAGATGTGTGGGTTTTTAAGGGTGTCATGTCAGGATGGCAGAGGCAGCCCTTTATCCCCCCCCCGCTCTAGTGCTGAGGGGGCACCCGCTATGTGCCAGCTGCTTGGTTGGAGCCCAATGCCCCAACAACCTTCATGGTTAAGTAGAAAGGGGGGGGAAGAGGGAAACCAGATGATAACCACAACAAGACGTGTGTTTTGTGCCACAGTCACCAAATCATCCTGGTTTCAAAGGCTGCCTCTGGACTCCGTGGCTCAGCTTCTGCACTAATTAACATCTTTATGGAAGGCAACTTCTCCCAAGAGGGCATTTGTTTCATTATTATTATTTACTCTGAGATAGGGCAGCTTTC